CATAGTCGAGGCCAACTCAAGAGCTTAACCAACCAGCCCAGGGGGGGTCATGTCCTCCATGACCCTCCCCCCCCTGGACCCGCCGTTGACTCTATACTATACTCATCTAATAAAGTGAAAACACTCACTACTTTGTGGCGAAGGATGTCGGAAATCACAGCATATTTTTGAATAATTCTTTCTTTGATAAAAAGCCCTACACTTACGATACGTTTGAGGCTATAAATTTTCACGCTATTAAACGAAGGAGATACCATAAATTGGAAAAAACCTACAAACTGACAACAAGGAAGCAAGGTCGCCATAGTAAATACCCAATTTCAAACGTCTTCGTTGTCAGTCATTTGAATTTTGACATATGTTAATAATAAATTAAAGTTTTTTATAATTTCGGATGAAGCAAGGGAACAGCTCGTAGAATGTAAGTGTAAATGTATTACAGGAGTATTCGACGCGCAGCCGACGGCTTCGGAACGTCAACGAGAGAACTTGAGTTCGCGATTACGAAGGGAGTTTGGTTTGGCGCTGCCTGATGACGACGACGCGAGGGACACGCAATCGATGTCTGCCCACACCGGTAAGACAAGAAAAAAATGTGTAAACAAGTTTAAAATACTTTAAAAGCCACTTTAAAATAAATAATCCAAACTTTAAAGTACATTTTAGGTAAAAACTCAAAATACACAGTAATTATTTTCTTTTTAACTTAATACTTTTGTTTATGCTGCCATACATTGTGTTAGAAACAAATGCGCACTCACAGTAATTGTCTAATGAATATTTATTGTTTAGCTTATTTACGTCATGACCACGACCTCATGACATATAACATACTATAACCGTTGTGTCATAAAATTAAATATGACAAAATGATCTATGACCAGAAAGGGAGGGGTTTTTAGATGTAACGGATCTAGTTTTGAGATCTTTTACATAAAAAGAAAATAACACAGATATATGTATGAATCTTTATTATAATACGTTATCATAAAAACATCGCAATTAAAGACGTAGTTTCTTTAAAGATGTTAAACTAGTTTTAAAACACATGTTTTACGCAGTTACATCTGCTTAAATATTTATTTTAACCTGACCTTGGTGTGTATAGAATTAATTGTAAACACAGAAGCAAATTACAATAGTCGTAATGCGAATTTAAAGTAAATTAAATTTAAATTGTTTTTGTCGAAAATTATGTGCATGTTGTTCAACTAATATATAGTGCAACCCGCCCACTATAACATGAGTGCGGTGTGCTGACGTCACTGTGTGTGTGCAGATGCGGGCGGTGCGGCGGGCGCGGGGGGTGCGGCGGGCGCGCGGCGCGGCGACAGGTAGTGTCCGGCGGCGGTCGCGCGCTGCAAACACAAATAACACATGTTTTTGTACACGCAAAGCGCGTGTCTGTATGCAGTGTATGGCTGACTTTTGTATGAAGTGAAGTGTATATTCTAACTTTGTTTCATTACTTATATTTCTATATTATTCACGGTTTTCTGCAAGTACAAATTGTTTTTTTAATTTCTCCTCTGTACATATTGTATATAGGCGAGTCTGAGGTATCGGTACGTATGTATTATGTATGACGTTATACGTTTGTTTATGTTATCAGTATATATTTATATCGACTTATTTATTACGGGGGTTTGTCGGCTCTGGAATTTTCTACGCATAATGCATAAGTAAATTATAGTTGTTTTTGTTTTTACCCTTTTTGTATGTCTGGCTATAGGTTAGGTGCCTAGGTCTAGATAGTCTCGGTAAGGTTAGCGTTGTCGATAATGTTTAAGGGGTTTTTTTAATTGGGATATATCATAGCAACATCACTAGATATCGAAGGTGATATACACTGTGATACATATCACATTGTAGATTTAAATTGCAATACCATATTTATTTAGCGTTTTGTATGTGATTGGAAAGCAATTTCTGTATTTTGGAATGTTTTCTCTCGTGTCAGTAATGAGTACTCGTGTAGCAATAAGCGACAGCGCACAGCTCGTCCTTACCAATGGAACACTCAACTAAACTTGCAAAATATTCTATTTGTTATGTTTTCTTTGTAATTGTAGTAATTTTCATTTCAATCGCAGGATGATTATTTTTTTGTAATAATTTCTATTGCGGCCTAATTTGTTGCAGTACAGATAGTGATGTGTGTTTATCGATACTGTCACATGTTTCATTCGTCATTTACGTTACTTCTAAATTGAAAACATTATTGTAATAATTAAATCGCATAACTATGTGATTTTCTGATTTCAAATAAAAAATATGGTAAATTTATTTTTCTGCTTCATAGCACTATTTACCTACTTAAGGCATTGTTTTGTAAAATATGGCAATATTTAATTTGTAGCGCTGTTCAGAATGTTGGTATAAATCGGTAGAAATGCCCGCCCAGTGAGTCCATCCGCTCTGCTCAGAACTGGCGCTGGCAAAAGTTCGTGGCTTTATATCACTTTTATTTGATCCTTGTTTTCTTATTAAAATTGTGACAAGTGAGAATTAATGAAAATATGAGCAATAAGATATAAAATTGATTAAAAGTGTAAGGAAAACTATTTTACAGTTTATGGACGCGCTTTATGAGACTGAAAAAAACGTTTTTGGAAAAAAATCGATATCGATAATTGTAAGAATTCTCTCTGACGTACAACACTAGTGAGTAAATTTAAAAGTTTTATCCAGTTTGTAACATTGTTTAGGAAATTTGTGGGCCTGTTTTTTGACCGCCTAATTTTTGTAAATTTTTTGCCACTCGGAGCAATGACGATAGAAAGTATGTATTTAATATTTTTATTAGAATAATATTGTAAAAGGCAGTTAATTCGCCATGTCGGGACGTATTTGGTTGTAAAGGACAAGACGCGGATTTAAAATGGCTTTTCACGGCAATTATAATTTAAGGTTTTGTTTACTTTTCAGTGTGTGATTGTAAATTGTGTGGCTGCGGCTTTATGAGCTACTGTCGATTATCACTTACGATGTTTCAAAACGCCATCGGCCATTATTTCTACTTAATATTAATGCATAATCGTAAATATATAGATTTAGTGAACCCGTTGCAATAAACAGAGCCTAAAGGCAGTGTATATATTTTATAACACACGAGTAAAGTATGTTTAAGCCGCATTTTTATTTAATTTCCTTATGTTTATATGTAAAGGAGGCATTGTTTGTGTTCGGGCGTTGACGTCGCGTGTACATTTCAATCTGGTTGTTGAATACATTGTAAATTAATGCTTATGTCAATATCTTAAGGCGCATTTTGTCCAAAACGAAACAACGAATACGTTTTTATCTTTTCCGTTGGTCGAAATGGATTTATTTTGAATCCGTACCCGATATGATGCGCTTTAAGATTGTTGTAGAAATTAGATGAAATCTTTGTGATAAAATGGGAAAAGTTGTTTAATATCATTGTGTAGAGAAACTTGATGTAAATATAATGATAGTTATCGTGTAAGCAAAGGCTACATATATTTTGTTAAAAGTGAAGGACGCACCGTGTTTTTATAATTTGCTTTGATACGTTCAGGAAGAGGCTGGAGTCCCTCCCCCGCCCCCGCCCCCGCCCCGTCCTGTCCCCTGTCCCCCGCCCCCGCAGCCCCCGCGTTGTTTGCGAGGTATTCGATGTAACGATGGAATATTTTGCAATATATTAATTTTTATTTGTCTTAAGTGAATCGTAATATAGTAGAATTGTATATTATCCAGATGTTAAATATTATTTCTGTCTTAAAGTTTGAGCTAAGCATGTAAAATTTAAAAATAACAATATAGAATAAAAGATGTTATGATAATTAATTACATAAAAGTTCGTTTTGAATTTCGCCTTTCCTTTTATCTTCCCTTTGTTCAAACTGCAGCTGATATACGACGAGAGGAACGATTTGTGTAAGCAAAATGAACCAAAATCGACTAGTGTAACGACTTAATCTAAAGCCCCATTTTAATGGCAGATATTGAAAAATAAAAAAAATAATGAAACAAACCAAAAAAAATAGCAATATGTTATTGTATTTAGTTTGGAGTAAAAAGTAACGAGATATACACACACTAAGTTAACGAAATAACACCTCCCTGTTAAAATCTGTTTGTCTACTTATTGTTACTTTGATGAAGTCAATTCGAATTATAAGTACTAAAAAAAAAGTATATAAAACTCAATTACGAAATAGCGAGTAAGATATTAAAAGATCTTGGTCTTCATCAAAGAGATCTGTAGCAAAAACTAAACACGAACCCCCATATCGAAAGTAGGTTCACCTTTAGCCAATAGATATTGGCAAAATCTGACAGAATTCACTGTAGAGACTAAAAATGACTGAAGATAGCACGAAACGCATCTTTACATACAGAGTCCACTCTATGTCATTACCACAGACCCTTATGAAATCTCTAAAATGATTAGAAACTTAAAACAAGATTAACCAACTGAATAAGGAACACCTTGTCTACGTATTAGTTCATCTTTGTAACTTCAGTCTCGAACGAGCCAAATATCCGGAACTGTCATTGTATCAGTGGTTTCACGAATAACAAACTAGGTATTTCCAATTACAGACTTATTGCCTTACTAATCTTAATGTCAAATATTCTATTGATTATTAATGAAATTGTAGCCTGATAAAGTATCTCGAGAAAAACAAATTGCTCACAGAATACCAATACAGTTTCCGTAAAAGTAGATACGGATGTCGCTGTACTGGACTAAACATCTTAAATCCACAGATATGCTGACAGGAGAGAATGTTATCAGTGTTTCTCGATTTAAAAAAACCTTTCGACAGTTTCAACACCTATACTTTTGTCAAAACTCGAGGCACTTGGAGTGCGTGGACACGCTTAACAGTATCTAAAGTTACAGAATGCTGAGAGCAATATGTTAAGGTTAATAATGTCAGTGACCCTTTAAGATTCTTATTTGGTATGCCACAGGGCACCCACTCGGTTTTTACCGTATAATCAATAACCTTTCAGACGTGTTAATATCGATGCAGCCTCTTTTTAAAAAAGAGAATAAACAACAAGAATCGACTTATTCTTCTCTGGAACAAAATCCATTCCAAATTCCAAGCATTTAATGACAAAGGTTGAAAAAATAAAAGAATACAGAATACAATAAAACATAACATTTATTAATATACTCTTAATATTTCTATTTACAATTTATTTAACAGACTTATTTGCTCAAAGAGCAATTCAAACTTACACCAAACTATATACAGTTTTAATAATTCCCCGCAGAATTAACAGATTTCAATCGCCGAGTAATTGATTACAAAGAAAATATACTGTAGGTGACCCTGTCATTTTAACAAACTACATTAACTTAAAACCTTGGGGACGTAGCACGAAAATTTGAGAGAAAGTATTCGTAATACTTACACAATTTATATACGATTTATCTGTATATTCTAAATCCGCTGCACAAATCTTACAAAACAAAAAATTGTTGATACTTTCTCGTTATTTTTCGTGCCTAGACCCCTCACATACATCAGTGCTAAAACTCTGGGTTTTAAAACAATGCACAACTTTGTGGTAAGTACAGACTTAAATCTACGAAATAAGCTCCCAACACATTCATTCAATATAAAAGAGCTAAGAGATAAAAACAAATCAAACAAAAAAAAAAAGAAAATTGAAATCAGAAAAATCTCTCATATCCCATTGATGATAATTGTAATAATTTAAAAGGTGGTCTTAAAAAATCTTAAATGCAAATACGTTGTTTGGCACAACGAGAGAACCTATTAAACTAGCTACAAAAAGATGCTTCGGTACATTCGCCATTTTGGCGAATTTCCGCCTTCACTTGTCACTTTATTAAAGTTATCGCCATTGCGGATTTGGCGGGAAATTGAAGTTACAACTACCCTACCTATACTTAAATAGACGAGTCTTAGGGCCTGTCCCACCACTGGTTGAGGCTCAGATAGCTTAAAAATGACGTCACTGTCAGATAAGGGAACAAAATCCTATATTTCCAACACATAACACGTTGGATTGTTATCAGACAATTTACAATTTGGTGGGACAGGCCTTTAATAACATAATGTTTACAAAATCCTCTTTAATTGTCAAGTATAATGTCTTGACTAGGTAGAATTTTATTATCACAGCCGTAACTAAGAACATCGTACTGCATATCGACCAGTCTTGCTTCACTGCGGAACATCACTAGTATCCTTGAGTTGGCACGTCGGGCAGAAGAACGCTCTTATCCCCGATGTGCCAAATCGAATAGTTACAAATATGACTTATTTATCGAATCAAAACGAATAACTCTTTGACGCTTATAAACGTGTAACATTATTATACTAATATTTGCTGCCAATTATATAAATGTTTAAAAATTAAGGTACATGTACATAATTTTTCATAAATGTTTTCAATAATCTATCGTAGATCTTCCATAATTTATTTCGGACACTTCGTTACAATTTAACACATGGAATATCAAGTTTTACGTACAATTTTAAATTTTTAAAAGACCATACGCCCTTAATAGGAAAAAAAATTATAGTATAATTTAAAAATAAACTTAAGTCTTGGCTATTTCAGAAAGCTCTCTATAGTGTCGAGGATTTTTTTCTGCTATAATGACTATGTATACATAGGTTTCGTTCAGAATATCTATAAATTTTTAACATTATGACCTGTAATTCACTATTACCAACAAATTATTTGTAGTACAGTTCATTTCAGAGCTGTAACGAAAGCATGACGTGAAACAAACAGTATTGTAAGCTGGGGGTGGGGGTGTGTGGGGGTGTGTGGGGGTGGCTAGACGGGCCGCCAGTCGGGGTCGGGGTCGGGGTCGCGCTTGACGTGGTAGTTGAGGCAGGGGGAGAAGTTGACGTGTATGGTGACGGGGTGCAGCGCGGCGAGGGGGGCGCGCGCCCCCGCCGCGTCGCACGCGCGCAGCTGCCGCGACACGCACGCGTACTCCACCGACAGCGGCACGTAGTACTTGCCTACAACACAATTACGTAAACAAAACTGCTAGGTTTTTATAATATAAGATGGCAAACGCGCAAGCGGCCACCTGAAACCGCCAAAATGGCGAAGCGACGGCTGCCCATATACATCCGCAATTATAGATACGTAGCCTACCCTTTCCGACGGAGGAGGAGACGCACGTAAAGAGGATATTTCCCCTTTCTATGCATCTTCTCCACCGTCAAATCAACTTCCCCTTCCCTTCCCCACCCTCTCCTTATAAGAAAAGGGTGGTAAAGAGAAAGGGACTTAAATTAGTTGGTTATTTCATACATTACATGTTTTTTCATTGACAATTTGTATATGAATGAATGATTTATTGTCGTACTATCATTAAATGGTTTGCTAACCCTTTACCAAGTACTAGCTGTCGCTACCGACTTCCAGCTCGTTAAATTAAAAATTAATAAACAAAACACAGGCTATGTTACTCACAGATAAATGCCTTTTTAACGGTAAAAGAATTTTTAAAATCGGTTCAGTAGTTTTTGAGTTATATCAATATATACCTAAATACAAATATAGATTAGGCAATTATTTTCCAATTGACATTACCGTATTTCTTTATTTCTTTATTGGTAACTCTAATCAGTAACTCAGGAAAAATGCCCCATTTATAATTTTTTTTTTCGTTAGTTTGCTTTTTTTTTAGATAGTTTAAAATGATCTAAAAAGAAAGCAGTCGATGTAGATGTCGTATCGAAATGGCCACAAAGAAGCAATACCGACCGAGCGTGTTGAGCGCGAAGACGGGCACGTAGTGCGCGGGCGGCGGCTTCTCGTACTCGTACTGGCCGAACTGCTCGTACACGTGCCGGTGCGGGGACTCGCTGCTCGTGTCCTGCCACACAGTGCACGGCAACTTTAACTATGCCTCCCACACACGTTTCATATAACTAATATTTATTGAAAGTACAAACGTAATCAGTACAGTGTATAACTCTGTGTACTTCATCGTACAGTCTGCATGTTCAGTGTGAAGTGTGCAGTGTGCAGTGTAAAGTGTGCAGTGTGCAGTGTACAGTGTAAAGTGTGCAGTGTGCAGTGTACAGTGTACAGTGTACAGTATGCAGTGTTCAGTACGCAGTATGTAGTGTTGGGTGTTCAGTGCGCAGTATGCAGTGTTCGGTGTGCATTGTTCAGTGCGCAGTGTTCAGTGTGCAGTGTGAGTGCTGACCTGCGGCGAGGTGTCGCGCGCCTCCTCCGTGGAGGCGGAGGCGGAGGTGGAGGCGGCGGGCGCGGGGCGCGCGGCGCGCCGTCTCTTGTGCGAGTACGCCTTGCCGTTGACGACGCGCGTCTGACTTTCCACTGCCTACACAGAGAGATATTATACAATTTATTAAAGTTATCAACACATTCATCTTCACAGAAGTGAAAATAAAGAATTATCAGCAATAGTTTGGAGGATTACAAAATCTAAATATCTTACTAATATTATAAATGCGAAAGTATAGATGGATGGTTGTTTGTGAGACTTTGCAGCTTAAACAGCCGTTTAGTCTGGAGGAACATATAGGCTATGTGCTTTTGTTTTTTTTTTTAACCACACGGACGGTTTTGCGAGTGAAAACATGACACATGACTTGAGTTTACTTACCTCAGTGTCCTGTGACCTTGAGAAACGCCTCTCTATGGAATTCTTGAACTTGTAGGAGTGTATGAAGTCGTCGTGCTCCGGCTTGCGCGGCTTGCGGAGCGCCTCGCGCTTGCCCCCCGCACCCCCCGCGCCCGACGCACCCCCTGCACCCGGCGCACCCCCCGCATGACCGTTTACAGCGGACATGGCGCTGCCGTTCTCCACCGGACCCACCACTGAAAATATTAAAAGGTTCTATGATACCAACTGCAATTAAGGATTTCACTCTAAACCAGTGATTCCTAAAAAATCTTCAGAATTTAAAATAGGAAGGAGGGTTCAGGAAGGTAAACGATACCGGGAAATAACTTTGAGAGTTCACTATTTGGAGAACAAATACAGCAGGGAGTTCACTGTAATCAATAATTTAAAAGGGACCATAAACTTCAGTGTTCGTTACCTACTTCTGTGTGCTCACCTCTATCACAGTCCATGTTGTAAGGGCCGTCAGTAGTTGCATCGTAGACGTCGGGCGCGTACGGCGGCGCGCGCGGCGCGGCCTGCGCCTTGCTGTAGCCCAGCGAACTGCTGGACGAGCTCGCCGTCTCCGAGGACGAGCCCAGCGACCGACCCTTGTCGCGGCTGCCGTCTCCTGGAATAGTTAAAGAAAAAGACTTAAGTTACTTCGAATAACTTAGGACCTTCTTTGACAGAATCTCTTTAGTATTGTGCATATCAAAAAAGTTCAGTCTTATAGATTGTGTTTATCATAGATGAAGGTCGTGTGTTGATGTGGTAATTTCGTGGGAAATAATAAAACCAGTCCTACTAACTCATAATAATGCTGCCTTTTAGCGCAACGCGACTGAGCGCTAACGGTTCAAAACTGGACTCTGAAACAAATTGGAAGCGTAGTCTTTTCTTGGATTGCATCTAATGGATATCTATTCTAATAAAAAAAAACAAACAATAAAAGCAAGTTGCGCTGCGTCATACGACCGCGAACTTTGCTACAATTCACGTAAAAAATTGCATAGTAAACCTAAATAGACACACAATTATGTTGCATTAATTACTTCTCTAAAAAAAGAATTAGACATCTTATAGCGCGATCTAGTAATTGAACAGCGCCATCTATGATCTTAAAAAACAAATGATTGTAGTTAAAAGAGGATATGCTAAGCACCTTTGGTGACGTGATCGCAGTGCCTCTGCAGGTGCGTGGCGAGCTGCGCGCATAACCCGTCCGCGGGGTAGCCGTGCGCCTCCGACAGGTAGCGCAGCGCCTCCCCTACCGCCTCCTGGTACCCTGCGCGGTAGTGTCCCTCCCCTGCACCCGGCTGGACCTCGCTAGCTGTACCAATGTAAAGTGGGAATGATTATCTCTCTCATGTAAGATCCGCACGTCAGATTCCGGAATACCACCACCAAATTTCATAAATCATTTTTGTGTAGGGTAGTGTGATAAACGATTTGATCTTACAAACCATTGACGCGATCCTGCAAGAACTTGAGATGTCGTATCGCCATCTCTATGATCTCCGTCTTCTCCACCCTGCCTCTCCCCTTCTTTAGGTACTCGGGGGGGATAAGGCGGGACAGGTCCGCCAAACAGTTGTTCATCCTGTCGCGGCGGCGTTTCTCTATGATCCGGTGCGACATCGGATCTTGCTGTGGGTAGAAATAACTTGTTAATAAACAAACAAATGAAGCCAGAATTCGAAAACAAAATTACCCCAAAACTGTAATTTGAATGATGTGAAAGTTTAGATGGATGGCTTGTTAGAGTTTGTAGCCTAGATGGCTAAACGGATCTCGATAAAATTTTACGTAGACCTATAGGATAGTCTGGAAAAACACAAAGGCTATTCACTTTTGTGTTTTTTTTAATTCGACGCGGACGGCATCGCGGGCGAGAGTTAGTAATCTTATAATAAGGAAAAATTGAAAGTATGTCGTTGAATTACATTACGAAATGCACACACTATTGACATTTTCTAAGAATCTGATGAATCATCAATTCTTAGAATTTTGTGTAAATCCGTATTATCCTATTTAGAAAGCGGTTCGCCATTGACGTCAATATTAGACAACAAGCTGAGATAAAAGGTCAGACTGCAGTTTGCAAATATATTTTATAAGTCAAGGACGAGTCAAAAATACTGGTAAAAACATAGAGAATTTGTGTACCAATTCTTAACAATACATCACTGTAAGCGCCTTTAGTTGTTATCTAAATCTTTTAATTGTAAGCTTAGAGATAAATAAAATTCTTGTAGAAACAAAAATAATGCAGAAACGAAGGAGGCAAAAATAACCACGTACATTTAGATATTTCATTAGATTCAAAAACGTGTCTTGTATATTGTTCACTTAGTTTAGAAGAATAACGACTCTGACATACGTTGTTATTTAAAGAATATGGGAACTACTTAATTGTGACTTAACACTCTCAATGCCATCGATTCGAAAACCTCGATTGCATTGAGCGTGTTAACATAAAAGAGATATAAATCGGGCATAATCATTTCGACTTGCCCTCAACACCTTCCCCTTCTTGTATGTAGCGAAGTCCGCTTCGTCTTCAGAGGGCGCTGCGAACGCTAGCTGCTCCCCCGCGCCCGCGCCGCCCGCACCGCCCGCCCCCGCACGACCGAAGCCATCGTTAGAATTGTAACTGGAAAAACAAACAAATAAGATAAAGAATCTTCCTTTATAAACGCGAAAGTTTGGATGGATTGATTTTTGTTAGAGTTTGTAGCCTAAACTGCAGAACAGATCTCGATGAAATTTGCCACAGATGTAGAACATGGTCTGGATGTACACTTGCAGACCACTTCTTTTTTTTAATTTCACACGGACTGAGTCTCAGACGGAAGCTAGCTATCTGTAAGGCAAACTTAGGTAAACTTGATGGTTTTTAGGATGTCACCTATGTTCGAATATAAAAAGCTGGTTCCAAAATTAGCTTATTGATGCCAAAGTCCAACAAATATAACAAACATGGTATTAAGTTAAAATTAGAAATAAACTAAGTATAAGCAAGTATTAGTACAAATTTTGCTTATACTCAGTTTATTCCTAAGTTTAATTTTAAACCCCGTTTATTTGTAAGGCTGTCGTTAAAACTTGCACCCAACCGAAACAAAAACACCTTTGTTTTTGCGTTGTCTGACCCTATGTAACTGGCAATATCGCAAGGCAATTTAGTTGTTATTACAAAGCAACAGAGTCCTATATCGCTTACCAAGCGTTGCACCGACAAGCAAATTCAGTCATCGTGCGTCAGTATTAGCAGAAAGAAGAACCAAATATGATCGCTTCTGTCACCAGCAAGTGCTTTAAAAGGTCCAGTAAGGTGTGCATTTAGCACATTTTCTTCAAAACACAAAACAACAACGCCTTACGGAGATGATTTTAAAATTGGGTCATGCATAAACAATTGCAACGTGCCCCGCATATGAAACAATAAATTCACGCTGTTTCGATATTGGCATAAAATGTAAAACGACACGTGGATTACAAGCAACGTGTTGGATCTATAGTCAGATAAACTTATCTGACCCGATAAGTGAAACTAAATAACATTTGCTCATAATAACACTGTAATTGTCAAATTATAATACATTTTTTTTATAATATAAGGTAGCAAACGAGCAAGCGGCCACCTGAATCCACCGAAATGGAAAGCGTCCGCTGCCCATAAACATCCACAAATGCAGATGCGTTGCCTACCCTTAATTGACGGAGGAGGAGACGCACATAAAGAGGACATGCGACTGATCTACCGTGAAATCCACTTTTCCTTCCCATCCTTTCCTCTTAAGAAAAGGGTGGTAAGGGAAAGGGACTAAATTAGGCCTCTGGCACCACACTCATCAGACGAAACGCGGAATTGCTTCCACTTCAAGCCTGTTTTCTGTATGGTTGTGGTATAACTGGAGGCCAGCCGGCCCATTCGTGCGAAGATGTTAAAGCGGGCTCTAATCGATCTAGCATTTGTGTCATTTTCTATATCTAACAAACAAACAGAATTACCAATAAAATCCTAGCTAGATTTCTTTGTCACTATAACATGGTATAGTACATAAAATTTTATTTGCCTCGTGGCAGAATAGTAGTATTATTCCTGAAGTGCCAAATAAAGAGCTGACTATACCTCGCCAATTTCCGTACATGTACCGAACACTGAATGTCCTTGGAATTTGAATTGTGTATTTATTGTTTTCATTAACATTAGTTACAGCCAGACAGCGCGTGTTTTTATTTTACTTTTCATTTCTATTGTAGATTTTAACATTCAAGAACTAACTGTTGCGTCTTGAATCTAATACGACCAATGCCATTTGCATTTCACGTGATTTTAAAAAAAAATGTTCTCTGTCTTTTCAATAAAAATTTTTTTTTATTGTTTTAAATTCTGCTAAAGAATTATTTATTCACAAATAGAAAACAGTTGTTTGATTTCTTAATTAGTCATTTTGTATAACGACATATTTTAAAGTACAACTACAACATCAGAGTAACTAACGGTGCGGCAATTTTATTTTTATTAAAAAGAAAATCACAGAGAAATAAAAAAATGTAAATATATCAACCGTAATATTTAAATATTGTTTTAAAAGTGACACTTTCTCTTTTAACATATTGTTCTTTTAACCTTGAGTCAAGGTCACAATGTCCTAAGTTAATTCATAAAAGGTGGCAAAAGGTATTATGGATACGATCTCTTGATTTATGTGTTTATAAAAAAGGAAGGTATTTTATCCTGGACATCCCTAAGCGGTACAACTTTGCTTAAATGAATCAATATTTGAAATTCATGAAGGCTGAAAATAATCATATTTATGAGGTCGCGTTGGGCGCGTGAGTCGCGACATGTGACAGCGTCCCCCCACTTCCCCCTGTCCCCACTCACCCTCGCTAACTTCGCGCACGTGCCTACGATTTATTAGATAGCTAGGACACGCAAGAGTAATACTATTAGACTAGCCTCAGCTCTTGTCATAAAATAAAATGGACCTCAGTTTACGTAAGGATATTACAGTAATTTAAAGTAGGCAGGAAAAAAATCTAAACTCTATCGTTATAAATGCAAAACAATCTATATTAATATAATAAAGCGTAAACACACACTTCTTTGTGGTGTAAGATGTCAGCAATTACACTATATTCACGCTATTAAACTTAAGGGTACATTAAAAGGATAAAAACCCCAATGTAGGAAAGAGACCATAGGCTGCTGCAAACATCAAGGAAGCAAGAGTGCCATAGTAAGGTAATTGCTATTTTGACATTTGCAAATAAAATGTAAACAATAAAATAAAGTTTTTATAATTCCATGTGGATGAAGCCGCACGGGAACAGCCAGTTTATTATAAAAAGCAAAACTTTAGTTGGATGGATGTTTGTAAGAGTTTGAAGGTTGAACTGCTGAACGGACTTTGATGATTTTGTTACAGATGTAGGTGATAGTCTGTAAGAACACAATTGCGTTGCACACCTTTAATCGATCGAATGGGGACGCATAGAAGGATGTTTCCTCTTCCTATGTCCCTCCTATATCCTTCAAAGGTCTGAAAGAAGGTATCTCAATAACGTCTTAATGTTCAGCATAGATTAAGAACTAGTCTGGAAGAACATAGGCTACTTAACTAATATAAAGAGGAAAGATTCGTATTTTTGGATTTTTGTACGTTTTGAAATAACTCAAAAACTACTGGTCCAATTTCAAAAATTCTGCACCTGTAAAAAGCTATGTTATTACTGAATAACATGGGCTATGTTTTACCTTTTTTTATTTAATTTCACGCGAGCGACATCTAGTATTTAATGCCGCGTGCTGGCATAAGGTATTAAGTAAATAAGACAAAGTTACGAAGTTACACATATATGAATGGTTAGGACTTAGGTGGACTGAATTTTATGAGTTGAAATACGAATAGAACATGTGTAAAATCATTTTTCTTATTTCGAGTGTATAAATACAAGTTCATACTATCTGTAATTGAATTGTACTCACTACATGGAAAATTTTAGAATAACAATTGCATTGTGTAGTTTTATCTTATCAATGTTAGTTTTAAAATCTTATTTATTACAGTTTGGGTTATTTTGGTGATTAATTAATTTACTAGGAACATCCACCGCTAAAATGAAAACTCATAAATATGAGAAAGTTGCAAACCAAAGTTTCTAGATTTATCCTTGAATTAAATACTTTCAATAAGGTAATAAGGAATTTCTATTTTGCCAGATAAAATTCCGCCATTTCGCAGTGTGACTGAAAATCAAACATTGTAACATAGTTGAACTGTATCCAGAATCGCTTCAAGTAACGTATTAAATGCAAAATAATAATGTTCATTGAAAATTAATTCTTACTAATATTGGATTAAGATTTAATATTGCAAAATAGATGCGTTGCTAATGTGTGGCAATCGGTTCTTGACACCGGCGGGCAAATGTCACGTGACGCGGCGCACGCAGCGCGACGGTCACGTGACCGACGCCGTTGAGTCAACGTTGAAATTTCATTTGGAATTTTCCAGATGTTAATCGAAACTTTTCTATGTCTAATACTTTTACTAAAGTGAATAAGAAATCAAGTAGTATTTGATATTCCGTTTGTATCTTGTCTTACTAATCTTACTATTACTAATGATATAAATGCGAAATAGATGGATGTTTTTTAAGAATTTGAAGACTAAACAGCTGAACGGATCTCAACGTAATTCGGCGAAAATGTAGAGGATAGTCGGGAAGAACAAATAGACTATTTAGTAAGTTATTAATGTTGTGTGTATTAAGAAAATTCATATGACTTGTAAGTTATTATGATCGTATACAATTAAACGACTTCCTTACAGTAATAATAAATAAAACAATGATTGATACAATGTGAAGTTCGCACGGGATACCTTGCAAGGAAGTGTTACACAAAATAACAACAGTAAGTATCTGATTCTCATAATGTTGGGGATTTCCGGCTATCTTGTTCACGTGAGTTTTCCTGCTTCCATAGACAGGTAATTACTGTTTCTTTAGTCTATTATAGTTATATTTAATACTAGCTTTCGTCCGTGAAGTTCGCGAGGCATTAAAAAACAAAAGCATGTTCTTCCAAACTATGTACTACATCTATGCAAAATTTAATCGAAATCCGTTCAGTCGTTTAGGCTACAAACTCTAACAAAAATCCATCCATATGAACTTGCGTATTTATAATATTACTTAGGTAGTAAGATTGTAGACTTAGGTTATCTCAAAATGGGCACACACCTTAATTTGGATTAGTTTGGTTCAACAATGGTAGAGCCCGCTTTAACATCTTCGCACGAATGGGCCGGCTCGCCCGGTGTAATACCACGACCATACAGAAAACAGGCGTGAAGTGGAAGCAACTCCGCGTTTCGTCTGATGAGTGTGGTGCCGGACGCCTAACTTTAGTCTCTTTCCCTTTCTACCCTTTTGTTAAGAGAAAAGAATGGGACGAAAAGGGGGATTTGACGGTGAAGGAGACACATAGGTAAGGGAAATGTCCTCTTTAAGTGCGTCTCTTCCTCCGTCAATTAATGGTAGGCAACGCATCTGCAATTGCGGATGTTTATGGGCAGCGGACGCTTTCCACTTCGGTGGATTCAGATGGCCGCTTGCTCGTTTGCCACCTTATATTATAAAAAAACGTTTAAAGATCCGATCAAAGATAATATTATTGTTATTAATATATGGGAAAATTATTTATGTTATTCTATTTTAAAGATAACAAAGTTGTAATGCACAAATTGATTATACCTAAAAATAAACAATGATATAACATTTCGGATGAAAAATGAAAGATAACGAACTGCGTAAACACTTCGGCAATCACGTGTGTGGACACGTTTCACCCAACATACCAACACGCCAACATTCCAACTTGAAAATAATGGAACGTTGGTTGTTTGTGTCAAATCTCATCCAGTTTGTAACGGCTTTTATAATGTAGTTGAAAATATGTTAATTTAATAAGCAACTTGATTTTCTAGTGTTTATCTTGATAATATATTTGTTGTTTTTATTCGTGAAGACTTTGATAATATCGCAGATACAAATAAAATATATTTTATTAACACCATTTCCATACATTATTGCATCACTATTTACTGTGCATTTGTCTGGTGTACCGATTCACTTTCCGTCGCGTTGAATTTGGAATCCTGAAAACTTTTTCGACACACAAATATCACGACAAAAATAATATTATACATTAACTTTCAACCGCGACTCCGCCCGCGTAAATAAAAAAAGTCCTATGTGTTCTTCCAGACTATCCTCTACATCTATGCCTTTCATCGAGATCCGTTCAGACATTTAAGCGGCCTCTAACAAACATACATCTAAACTTTCGCATTTATATTAGTAAGAAGTAAGATGTACATATGTTATTGTATAAATCGCCAACAATTTATCATAGTTACGAGGTTTTCTTTTACAAACAGCTTAACTGTAACCACACCTGTAGTTAATAATATTCCAATTAGAAAAGCATACACAAGTTCCACGTCAGTATGTGACATCATGATTGTCCCTTATCCGGGTGCAGGACGCGTGACGTCACAAGTCACGTGCTCTCGCCATGCGCACGCGCTGTTTGACACGCCATTCACGCAAAATGGCGTAGTTCAGATCAGTATTACTTGATTTGTTGTTTGCTTTTCGTTATTTTTAAGTATTTAAATATCAACATTCAAATCATCTACTAATTTACTTATTAAAACACAATAACTTTAGTTATGCTCGTGGAGATATACCGGTAGAGGTAGGTTTAGAAAGTGATTGATGTATAGCGTGAAAGGAGACTTTTCGCGCCTACAGTGGTAGAACAAAGAGGGGGTGGTAAATCGGCCATAAGAAAACCACAAAGATAATTAAAAAACTCACGCAAAGTTTCATTTTTTTTAGACCGTAATAGACTATAACCTTGAAAGAACCGGACATAGTGTCCGATTCCTGTTTTCCTTATTTGGTAAATCATAGTCATCATAGTATTACTTCTTACTAATATTATAAATGTGAAAGTTTAGATGGATGGATGGATGTTTGTTAGATTGTAGCCTAAACGGCTGAACGGATCTCCATGACATTTGGCACAGATGTAGAGCATAGTCTGTAAGAACACATAAGCATTGACAGCTGTCAGCTAGGGACGTGACGTTTATGCCGACAATCTAGTGGTATCAATTTTAAAGTACGGTACTAATTTTCTTCAGTAGTCGATTCACGTTGACGCAATCTACAATCAAGGTATTATGAAAACGCACACGTGATGTAGGGTTGTCACCTTTAGGATGTCTTATTATAAAATACTATTAAAACTGAGATATGATTACATTCCGCTTTGTTTTTTTGAGATAGACATGGATTATTGATTTAATCTCTTATAAACTCTTAATCTTAGCTTAAATTCTGCATACAATTTTTTAAAGTTTGTTATTTAATAATAGATTGTATATAATATTGAATTATTATTAAACATATTACGTAATAGTTTATCTTTATGATATCGTTATACTGTTAACCTACAGTTTAGTTATTCTGCTAATTAATTTTATAAATACTATTTTTATAATTTCTTATCTTATTAGCAACTAGATGTTCCTGCGCGATTTCATCGCCATATAATTATTTTATTGTTTACATGTGTCAAATTGTCAATTGCAAATGTCAAAATGACATGACATGTCAAAACTTGGCAATCTTGCTTCCTTGATGCTGGCAGCAACTTATGGTCTCTTTCCTACATTAGGGTTTTTATGAAAAATATTTACCCCCTATGTTTAATGGCGTGAAAATATAAAGCCTAAAACGTGACGTAAGTGTAGGGCTTTTTATTAAAAAAAGAGTTATTCGAAAATATGCTGTGATTGCTGACATCTTAGGCAACAAAGAAGTGTGTGTTTACGCTTTATTATATTAGTATAGGTAATAAAAGTATTATACAATTGAAAAACTCATTATATGACTCTATTCAATTGTAAACTATTTAAGTTTTTTTTTTAATACGTTCCTTTCAACCTTCACACGGATACTAAAAACATTTTCACCGCAACTATGTCAGTCAAGGCCGTGTCTACACTGTACACAGTCCATAGTAGACCATACACAGTCACAGTTACACAGTACAGTCCACCATAAAACTATAGAAAGGTTGTTTCATGACTCGTGTAGGGTGACCATACTTTTTATATTTCCGCGGATTTTATCCTTCAATCAACTTCCAGATTTATCTTTAAGCAGGAAGCATTTTATCTTTTTTTTTATTTGTCAGACGTTTTTACGGTGAAGGATAACATGGTGAAAACTGCACATTTCTGAGAGTAAATTCTAAATGTGTGAAGTAAAGCAATCTTGGACCAGTGTAGTTTTATAACATCTGGTCACCTCTAGATCGTCACCAGCCGATGATCAGCTTATTATAAAAAATTTTAACAAAAATTGAAAACATATTTTAAATCCGTAGTATAGATATTATTTAATTCACAAACGTTTTATTTGGCCTTGAGACACAATCCAGATAATAATCTGTTTGTGAGAGGTCGGGCGTTACTTATATTAACCTTCTTTTATTGCCAAGAAATCATTTTCTAATCTAGTCTATGCTAAAGAAACATACCAAATATTGAACATTTTAATAGCTTTTAACATACATATATTTTTAGTAAATAAGGTGGCAAACGAGCAAGCGGCCACCTGAATTCACCGAAATGGAATGTAACTGCTGCCTATAAACATTCGCAAATACAAATGCATTGCCTACCCTTTATTGACGGAGGAAGAGACACACATAAATAGGTTATTTGCTCTTCCTGTGCGTCTACTCCACCTTTAAATCCACTTTTCCTTTCCTCTTAAGAAAAGGGCGGAAAGGGAAAGGGACTTAAATTAGGCCTCCGGCACCACACTCATCAGACGAAACGCGGAATTGCTTCCACTTCACTTTTTTCTGTGTAGTCGTGGTATTACACTGGGCGAGCCGGCCCATTCGTGCGAAGATGTTAAAGCGGGCTCTACCACTGTTTATGATCTAATATGATCAGCTGGTACTGATGAACTAGAGAGCAATAATGATGACCGTTAAAAAAGCAACATAAATTAAATATTCAAAAGAATTAAAGTAAATTAAAGTACTTATACAACATCAACGAACGTAGGAAAATTCCACTGCTCTTAGAGTGGATGAATCTAGAAGTAACATCACAAACCATGGCCGTAACGTTTATGTTAATGTAATGAATGTAAAAAATTAATTGCGATAATAAAATAGATAAAAAACAGACCTTAGCATTACAAAAATATTAACATAGATGTGATTTTATCGATATTTCTATTTTAAGAAATCATTTCTGCGAGTTGCTTCACGAATACACATTACTTTGCGAAAACTTTTTAATAAAAAAACAAAACCGACTTCCAAACAATATATTCTAAAAAAACAGTACACTAAAAAGTAAAGAAATAATTCCTTGAAAATAGTAAACCTCCCTTATTGTAGCTGGTATGTCTATATTGTACAATGATTATTACTTTGATGTCGGTGTCAACCGAGGTATGCAGTGTATTTATACGTAAGGCTTTCTACATTTTTACCATAACAATTGACAATTGAAAGTATAGTAACGTGTAGTAATGAATCTACATTGACTGACACCGACTTCAAAGTAATAATAACTATCCATTATCGATTTGACAAGTCCAAAGGTTTGGATAGACTTCGAAAACATCACAAAAACTCTATAAAATATCAGCTAATAACAGCACACGTGAAATAGGTAACTGCTATAAATAACATTCAAAAATACATTTGTCTATTTTCAACTGGTTTTAACACTGCTATAAATATAACGTTACATGCGTCATTCATCTCATGAGTGTCTTAAAACAGGCGTCGTTGTCAAGAGAAACACAGTAGCAGATATTCGAAAAATGCAAAATAGATATTAACTACTTCGAAAGAGACTTTATTACGTTATTATGGTATTGCGCCCCCTCCCCTTTTTCTGCACGTACCCTGAATGCATAAAAAGATGTTATTGTCAAAATAGCAAATAACAGTACGAATAGCGGTTCGTAATTGTCACGTGACTACTATCTCGATTCTAAAACTACGTGTAATTACATACATAATTTCGTTATCAATTTAAACAGGCTACAGAAGGTCACAATTACCCGTCTATTTACAACGGTTAACGTTAGTCAATCAGACTAGCAAGACTTGTTTGATAGGATCGTATTCTTCTCTTTAGTGTTAGTTATAGAGAGGTACCTATAGTTAATCGGGCTTGTAATATTCAACTTAATCTAAACATATATAATAAAGACAATATTTCATTGTTTGTATGAAATTGGCTTTAAAACTACTGAACCGATTTCAAAATCATGACTGACAGGTATTAAATGTTTTTATTCATATCATTAGTGCTTAAACAAAAGCCACGTGAACTCGTTACCTGTGTCACGCGATGCGTATAAAATATCCGCCATTTAATCCGAAGAGTGTCGCCGTGACTGATATATATATTATTTTTTTTTATCGATGGCACGCAGCGCCTCGAGCAAAACATTACAATGATCGATACGTGTAGGTTGACCATTCTTTGGAAATACTATGTAATGTTACACAATGCGGCAAATTAATAAAATTAACAAACATTCCGTGCAATTATATTAAAGTGAGTAAAAAAAAGTTGAATATCGTATGTGCCACAATTCTGGAGGTAAACTATATAAAAGAAGTAAACAAATAACAACTCGGCTTGTTGCACAATCCGTCAAATAAAGGTGTGCGTATAAATTTTAGTGTGAATTAAAAAAAATGTCCTGATTTATGATTGCAGTAGGAACACCGCAAATTGGATACAGCGTGTCGCGCCACGTGCGGCCGCGTCAGCTGTCACGTTGCCGAGCACGTGTCGACGCGAGTACAGCGCGGCGTGACGTAACTGCCTGGACAACGGCTACCGAATACACGCGACGTGAAAGTAGGCGCGTTCCGATCGTTCCATTTATCTGAATACAATCTGACGAACTATTTTTATGACAAAAAAAAAAATATGAAATGGGCCTTATTAGATTATCCTATTATTACGTTTTTGATATTAATTTGTAGATAAAGTTATGTAAACGGAGTTTATTGTATGGTCTTTAGAAATGTTTACAGTTGCAACGTTTTACGCAATGTTTTCGAATTGTTTTTAATGTTCAAGGAGCCTCTTGTTTTAAATTGTAATAAATTGAACGAAAAAAAATATTAGCGAAGGGCACCGTTTCGTTAATATTTATACCAGACATAATTATTTATATCAATCTTTTTATCTGTTTCTGTCTTCATTTGACTAAAAAATTCAATTAACCATTTCCGATGCCTTTGAAATATGTAATGAGAAATATAAAATATATATGATGCAATTCCCTTATCTGTTATGTTTTTTCAATACACTTCACGTGACATCAAACGTGTTTCTTTTAGTACATAATGTACCTAAATAAATGCAACAAAAAGTTTTTATCTTTATTTCGCGATGACCAGTGACAATAAAAAACTCAAACACACGTTACACGTTATACGTTATTTGTCGGAAGCACAACCTTACTTTACATTAGTGTTTAATAATTTTATAAAACATTCCGAAATAAAACGGTGGCTTGAAAACTGAACGACAAAATAACGAAATTAATCTTATAAACTTAATACGGAAGGTTGGCCGGACTTAATATTGATAAATATAACATTATAGAACAATTATGAAGGACGTGGTAAAGAAAACAACAAAATTTTCCACCACCGGCTAGATATTTCTTATAGTTATTGGGTCATGAATTAATCAAATAATTTGTCACATTCCGATCAAGAATTAGATTTAATGGCTGCCCAATTTTACAAAGATGAGAGTTTTATTACAATCCTGGTCGCATTTCTTATAACGTTTTTCAATAACCATTGAAATAAGAAACAACCTCTCTAAAAATTATATTTTACTGTTTTTTTGTTAAAAATCAGTCTGCGGAATGTAATAATGTCTAATTAATTCTTTGTCCGGCTGTTAGCTGTTAGCACGGCAATCACGTGCGAATCGCTTACCGTTCAATATGCGTTGCCCTGTCTGACCAACATATTTACTCTGTGGCAATCAACGCGCGTGTACAATAGAGTTAACCTTACCATATTCACACTCTATATTTACCTAAGTTTTTTTGCAATCATTTATATGCTATTTTGGTACATTAATTGAATTTAGTAGCTGAATTAAATATTTCGTATATCGGTCTACTGCCACGTCTTACTAGTGGAGGCAAATTGTTTATTTTTTAATCAATTTATAATTTTAGCTTCATCTTTGCGTAAATATGTAACTGATAATAGTCTGTGTTTCGATTATAAAAACATGAACTTTAAGACTAGACGAGTTAGTCAAGGTCACCGCATTTTAACGAAACTGAAAGTTAAAACTGTTATGTAACTTATTCTCCTAGGTCAAGACGTAGCTTGAATATTTACTTTTTATTCCTACTGGGTTTATTCTTAGATTGTTTGTCCTATTTTTATCATTTAAGACATGGTTACCCTACTAACGGAGTATTATGACCGGGACAATGGTCATTCACAAGTGTGGCAATGGAAAATTCCATTTAAAACTGGTTTAAATTTTTATTAGGCATTTTTATTATGAACAGGAAAACAATAATTTATACACAATTAACGTGCGAATGAAGGTATTTATTACCTGCTTTCTTTTAATGAAGCTGTCTGTTAAAGGAATGGATGTACAGAAAATGGATATTATCTTTTCTTACATCACCTATCTTTAATGTCTCCGTGGTGGTGCATTTGGTATTTTCCTGTAGCAATTAATGCTTGTACAGGGTTTCCCCAGGGTACAGGGTCTTAGTACCAATTTAATAAATGTACTTTGATTACTAACGCATTTTGTTTACTAATCAATGGAACATAATATCATCGTAAGAACATTTGGATGCACGCGATACCTTCTGCATCTGTCTCACTTTCTCACGTACGCGCCATATCTCCGTCACTGTCTCGCGAACTCGCATGCAATGGTCAAGACAACGCAAGCGTTGAATAATATCGAATCACAGTTCATCGACACTGGTTTGCAAACGCAAATAAAAGCTTTTGTATGTAATTTACCTACTTTCATGTTTCTTCTACAATAATTTTTTACTACAAATGTGCCTCAAAAAGACATCGGGAAGCCTTTTTTAGATAACATTAATTTGTTTTCCGAATTACGTTCGTAGACCAACCATATATTCTAGTCAAGGTAAAATAGCTTTTATTAAAATAATTGATATTTATTTCTCAATAGCGTGTATAATAAAAATCTGGTAAATTTCCACAGACAGTAAACAAAAAAATATAGTCGGTGCAGTAGAAGTGCGCGGGGCGAGGTGGTCAGGCGATACGCACACGTGAGGCTTGCGGGGCAGTGTGCGTGCGGTGTGCGCACGCGGGCGCGGCTGTGTGCGGCACGTTGCGGCCGGTGTGCGCCGCCCCCCGCGCCGCCCCCGCACCTCCCCCGCATCACACGTGTCTCACGAGCTATTTTCGCCGTGCTTTCGCCGCGCCATTTTGTTTAAATATTCAAGCGCGAATATTTTTTCTAAACAAGTCCAATTTTATATTTGGTTCGATTTCTTGACCTTAATTGACTAGCTGAAGTAACTGATGTAATTTTTATAATTTAGGAATGTACGAAATTTCAATTTGCACGAAGCCTTTAACGATTTTAAGATTACCACAATTTTCTATACAAGAGCACTTCAAAGATATAAAACCTTTAACAAAAATTGGAGTGAGCTAGTGGTGACCCGGACATCCGTATGAAATAAACTCGGATCCGTATCGGTGAAATTTTTAAGATTATAAAACAATAAAATAGAATCTAGATCTGTAAAACTACTAGATTATTTTCATTTTATAGAAAACAAAATCCAATCCAAAAAGTGTAGATCCTTAAACATAGATAAAAATGATCCAAATTCCCGAATATGTCGATATTTTCAATAAACCGTTACATCACTGTCATTTGTTTCTATTGAAAATTTAAAAAAGTAAACAGAGGTACTAAGCAATATGGCGTCCACATATTTTTTAAATTATTCTGCGAGATATTTGTGAAATAAAGTGAAATGATATTAAAAATGGTATAGATAAATGTGAATTCTATAATGTAGCGTCATTTATAACACGTCTATGGATTTAATTGGAATCAGATACAAGAGGAGTCTTGTAGCAATATCACGTCAAACAATACAAGAAATTTCTAACCTATCTGAGAAAACCCAACCGGGTAAACTGATAAGATAAGGAATAGAAATCTGCTTTTTACATAGGATTATATCAATTGCAAATCAGAATTCCGTGTATTATGAATACAGAGAACAGATAATTAAAATAAATTAACAAAAATAATGTTAACCTCTTACTATTAAAAATCTTAAAGATGTTTCCACTTATTAGAGCAATAAGACGTGAATAACATATTTATATTTTCTTTGCCAGCGACACCGTGTAGCCTATAAGTTCTTCCAGATCCCTTAGTCTATGCCAAATTTCATTGAGATTCGTATAGTCGTTTAGGCGGCAAACTCTAACAAACATCCATCCATTTTAATTTTCGCATTGCATTAATTGTCTGACTGTGGCCATCCTTAGTAACCGGCCAATCAAATTATATTAATGTTATAAATGCGAAAGTTTAGATGGTACGGCTGAACGGATTTCGATGAATTTGAAAAAAAAAAAATTAAAGATGTAAGATACTGATAGATAATAATTAGGGCCTAATATTATAAACGCGAAAATTAAAATGAATGGATGTTAGTTAGAGTTTGCCGCCTAAACGACTAAACTGAACGACGATAGAATTTGGCATAGACCTGAAAGAACTTATAGGTTACTTTCTTTTTTATTATACACGAACGGTGTCGCTGACGAAAGATAGTATAAATATATTAATCACGTTTGGTTGATGTGTTTATTATTATTGTCCGATCTGAGATTCAGCACGTGCTCAGTGTGAGTAACGCGCAAAAAGCAATGCCACCTAATTAAGATGACTTCCCTCGGCCGGTTACAACCGCTGCGCTTCGATAAACAACATGGGATATGCTCTTGTAAACACGTATGATTTTATTATCCGTTGAATCTATAAGCCAATTTGAGCCTCACAAACATCTTAATTGATCATATTAAAAGAACAATTTTTTTATTACGTGAGTTAACTCAAAAGACGAAAGAAGCAAAAGCCATCAAGTGTTGAATAAAGACCATAGTACCGTAGAATATGATCTTGATAACTTCCCCTTTAAAGTTTTAAAAGTGCCTTCCGTTGGGCTATTCGATCTGTCAATCGACCGACCCAAGAGGATTTTTTACCATATGGGTAGATTGATTGTATGGATTCGATCAGCCCAAGGGAAATAATCTCAATGGGCAAACTCCTAGTTATAGTTAGATTTAGGTAACCTAAAGTAGTACAAACGAGCAAGCGGCCACCTGTATACGCCGAAAGGGCGAAGTGACTGCTGCGAATAGATATTCATTCGAGATGCGTTGTCTACCTTTATTCGACGACGGAGAGGACACGCAGAAAGGTGTTATTTCACCTTCTCATGCGCCTACTCCTCCACTTTCAAATAGGGTGGAAAGCGAAAGTAAACAAAGGCCAAAAGTTTTCAAAAAGGCCGGCTAGCAATATGCTGTAAAGTGTTAGTCATTTGTTTATTTTCTTCAATATAAGTGCGAAGTTCTCGAAAGAACATAATATGTACGCTGCCTTTTCCCTAGAATGTTGTACCCAACATTCCCCAGGAACCCCCCTCAGAGTTTACGAGGTTGCATCAACAAACTTTACAATCTGTGTCAAGACGTTTGCTGTGAACTAGGGAACAATGTTCCTGAATTCTAAACATCGCCAGTCGCCCGATTTTCTAGACAAGAGAATTATAGAATTCACTTTTGGCAAACTGCGACAAATCTATTCTAATTTCAATATTCGAAGTGTTTATGCTATGACCGGAACAGCATGACCTTTCGTTATTGTATACGTGAACTATCACAAAGCCCTTGGTAACCTTGTTTGTCGCATAATAACAAAAACAATGTTACAATAAACAACTTCAGTAAAAAATCAATCTCATACCACCCATATTTAAATGAATTGTTGCCTTTAATTACACAAGATCAACATTTAACTCAGTTATCTGGATTAAATAAATAAAAACAACTAACTTGTCATACTTGACATGTCCGTTCTCCTCCCAATAATGACGAGTTTCCATATTCAAAATTATGTCACGAATAAAACAAGGTACCACAATTGTCACAAACACGTATCACTATTGTCACATTTTCTTCCTTTGGCACTATTAACACAATTTTAAGTCACCGTGAATCATTCCTATGTGAATATAATTAAATGGTAGAATCGCGTGTTTACGAATAAACTTAACACAAACGTCGTAACCGTGAAACATTCGCTTCGCGTCTGACAGCGAGTTCGGGCGAGCGAGCGCCGGCCGGCCGCGTCATGTGACTTCGCCGTCAAAATATGGCACGGGTGCCGGAATGTGCGCGCTACGTAGGGTTACCCTACTCACGATTTAACCTCATTTCAGTTAAGTGCTTGTTGTCCTGAGAATTAATTTTTTATTCAACTTGAGTATACTTTTATCCAAATACCTTAAGTGATTTTTCAAGTTTTACATGGAAAGTACTATCTATCTTTTCTAAAGCAGTTTAATTTTATTATATAATAACTTTATACATTTGTATAAAGTTGTTATTAAAAGTAAGTCAAGTTTACAACCCTAAGGTAGTCCACATTACAAGCCACGTGACGTGATCAATCGGCATTACTTATTTTATTTTTATAGCATTCCTGAGTTCCACTAAATTAATCGATTAAAGTTATATGCCTAACTGTTCGCGGCTTATTTCTATTAATAGAAATAGTTTTGCTGTCAGTTCTTATTTTAATTATACTTGATTCTAATCCAACAAAAAATTATTTTATAGAAGCAGTCCCAAAAGTTTCCATACATAGAATCCGGGAAAATCGCGAGCCTTTCTGTTGTGGCAAACGGCAATGTAACTACAGTGTTCAATGATTAACTAAGTAACAGAAGATTCCTGGTCTTGTATAAAGTACAGAATTAAATTTAAACTATGTGTTTAATTTTAGAGAGACTAATAGATTCTTAGACATAATAATTGTTGTAAACTGGCTGTATTTTAAAAAAATAATCAAACACAGTAAAATTTTACATTACCATTTAGTGGTTGGTGGTATGGTTTATGGCGCGATTATCATGTTGTTTAACAACTAAGCCTACATATGTGTTGAAGTTAAATGGCAAAATAGTAATTAATAAAGTATAAATCCACACGTCTGCACTGTGTATATTCTTTGACAATGCCACGCTCGCTCGCACGTGACTGCGCCGCACGCCGCGCCCCACCATCTGCGTTGCGATGACACGATATCTATTGTCATTTTTTAACGACTTAAAAAGAAGGAGTATATCAATTTATTCTGTACGTTTTTTTTAAATGCCTATAAATCATTTAAGTTAAGACAAAATCATATCTGTGAGCATGTAATGTTAGCTCGGGATTTTAAAGGGAATGAGAGCATTGTTAATTTGTTTTTAAGCATATAATTCGACATTGGTAACTCAATTTTGCTATCTGTCTAGTCAACTAAAGACAGTTAGCATTACATATAGTGTTATTCAAAATTTAGGCTAGATTCAAAGAATGTCAAGGATCCGTCCATATTGTGTGTCTGTCTACCCCCTTCTGTTCCTCTTTCGGTATAATTTTCAAAAAACCTTAGCCACTCGGAATTTCTAACAAGTCACAGTGCAGAACACAAAAAGTGTAGCGACCTTGAGCTGCCAAGATAATGGAAAAATACTGTAGCTGTACTACAAGTTCAAAGATTGAATAAACAAATTTCGCTCAGGACATCTTTTCTTTGGCTACAATTTAAAAAAGTTAGAAAACATAATAATTTATGTACTATAGTGGTCATAAAATCGAAAGTTGTCAAGTGACAAGTATTTGGTGACACGTGCAGGCCAATGTGCGGCGGCGTGTCACGTCGGCCTTGCCTTACGTGACGGCGCACAGGTGGCATTGCTCACTGGTAACGATATTAGGACTATAATATTGATTGATCTAATTGCATTGTTCCTTCATAATAGCAGAGGCGTACTAAAAGGAACTTTAGCAATTTAAAATATCTACAGCTTCGTTTTCTGTCTTTATTTAAAAAAGATTATTGTCCTTATGTCCTTGTGTATTGAACATTTAATGACTGAGCTCGGCAATTATCGTCATTAGTTACGTAAACTCAATTCTCAATTGCCAAATAAAGTTTAAAAATTAATTTATGATTTATACAATAGCTAATAAATAATAAAATAACTTGTAATTCCACTGAATATTTCTGTGTCACGTTTAAGAAGCGTGTAAAATTACTTGGGATAAAACGTGCTAACACACGTGGTCGAAGCATTATTCGAGTTCTGTTATAATTAATAGTAGGATTATTCTGAGAAAAAACGTTGTCGAAATTAATCACGTAATCTTATAACTTTAATTGTACTTAGAATCAAAACAATAAAATTATCGAACACGTCATAAGAGACTTCCATGGTCAAAGTTAACATTTGTTCGAATAGTACCTAAATCTACACGTCCAAGTTCGATTACCATAAACCAATGCGTTTTTAGATTTTAGAATTTTAAATGTACATTTATTTAACGTTCATATGGTGAATGACAACAACACAGTGGTAGTGGCCGCTTTAACATCTTAGCACTGCAGGGCCGGCACGCCCGGTGTAATACCACGACCACACAGAAGACAGGCGTGAAATGGAAACAATTACGTGTTTCGTCTGATGAGTGTGGTGCCGGAGGCATTTAAGTCCCTTTCTCTTTACCACCCTTTTCTTATAAGGAGAGGTTGGGAAGAGGAAGTGGATTTGACGGTGGAAGAGATGCATAGGAAGGGGAAATATCCTCTTTATGTGCGTCTCCTCCTCCGCCGCATAAGGGTCTATGGACAGCGGTCGCTTCGCCATTTTGGCGATTTCAGGGGGCCGCTTGCTCGTTTGCCACCTTATGTTATGAAAAAAAAAAGGAAATTATGGTGTGATCTCCTCATTAGGGATATTTATAGCTAAAAATATATACATGAAAGAAAGCAGTTTGTATCTCCATATCTTAGAAAGATGACATGTGCGGTGCCAGGAGAACTATAAAACAAGTTAAAATAAAACCAAAATGTTATTTCAAAAACATGTTTTATTTGTTTTTACTGTTACCAATTATGGAGACAAATGTGTCAGATATTATTGTCTTTATGAATTAAAATATTTCATTACTTTCATCTTTGATGAGATAATGGAAGGAGAAAATATCCAGAAACGCACAATACTGAGGTAGTTATACTACACTTTAAGTGTATTATTTATGTTTAACTTTTTTTAAATAAATACTTAATCAAAATTTTCTAAAAAATGTTTTCCAATGGTATTGCTTTCATAATGATTTAGTAAGAAATCTATTGTGTTTTTCAATGTATTATTTTGATCTTCTAATTTTTTGTTCATTCTTGTCAAATTGCTGATCGTCGTTGACTTTTGTTGTATAATTTTACGACATTTTATTAACTTTTCTTTTAAATATTCTGCATTATTCGTTTCTGTTAGTGTTTCGTTTTCTGACGGGGACATTGAAGGGCTACTGGATATGTCATCTTGGTCCTCACAGCTTGTATGTGCACTGTCAACTTCGTTAATAATTCGTAAGTCTTCTATTTCAGTCTTCTCGGCCTGTATAATTAGTATCAAGCTTAAGAAAACAAAAAATCCTAATAAAAACAGTGCAATTCATGGTTTATTTTCGATTTACATTTTATACTACATTTACCTTATAACGTGTCCTTGATTTTCTCCCAAGGATCTCTTCTGGTGGAATTGATTGAATCTGTGCATAAAAATGTGTAATAATTAATCAACCTGTAGTGGACTGTATAAAAAATTCTTCTCGTAGATACTAACGCCTTTAATGCTCTCAAGGGACTGGACAGGTCAAAAATATATTTAACAATTTCTATTTATACAAGTTTAAAATCATTCTAAATCAAAGACACCGCGGCCTTCGCAGCGCGCTGCCAAAGGAACATCAAAGGTTGCCGCCCTTTGACAGTGCGGCCGCGGTCATCCGAGGTTACACGTGCCGCGAGGTGCATCCAAGGGCGGCACGTGTAACAGCGAGTAGGCATAGCATTTACGTCGCCAACACAACCTATAAAAATCGTTCATATGCTTCCGTTTAATTTTTAATTAAGTACTGGCTGTTGCTCGCGATTTCGCAACGGTATTTAAAAAAAAACAGTAAAAATATAGCCTATGTTACTCAGAGATAACATAGCTTTTTAATGGAGCAATAATTTTTTAAATCGGTCTAGTAGTTTTTGAATTATCTCAATAGATACAAAATTCTACTAGTACAACACTTTATAGTTTCGAATTCTGAAAAACACACCCTTATTTTTTTGTAAAAAAAAGTTAAGGACCCCTATGTTATTGTCATCCGTTACCGCGTGAGTAATGTGTATGTGCACTTACGCACTTACGCTAAAGGTTATATTGAAACAACTACGTTGAAATACCTTAAACTTAGGCACGGCTGATTTATCCAATCTACGACGTTCAGTATTTCCTATAATATCGTTAAAATCAAAGTGTTCTGAACATATAACAGAGTTTTTTGTAGGCTTATAGAATTCTTCTGCTCTTTCAGTAGCAACTATCGCTACCCATTTTGCAGCGCGGTATGGATTGTTAGGGAAACTAAAACAATAACAAAAATTACTGTATGAATAAAAATAAAAAAAAACGAAAAAGAAAATTGCTTTTCTTAATCTCTTTTTGGCTGAAATTAGTGCAGTATCGTATTATAGACGAAACCTGGAAACAGTTATATGGCAATAGCAAAGTGTGACATTTAACGGTCCTCTATTAACTTGGCATTTGACATTTGACAGTTGACACTTGACAAGTAGTGCGTAAAAATTAACTGCAAAACAAAACCAGAATTTTTGCCTTTCATTTGTTATTTTAACGTAACATTTAATAATAAGTTTCTTAAACTAAAAAACAGCTACGTTTTACATATAACCTCATTTCATTATACTTAGTAATTAGATAACCATAAAAAATAATCTATTATCTTCCTCAGCGATTTTCTCGTATTGCGTGATTTTATATATTAGAAGGCTTAACCCAGTGGCATATCGGAAATACTAAATCGTTCTCTTGTATTTGTAAAAATTAAATAGAAGTTACTAAAATATAATGTACTTGCCGAAAATATGATATTCCGTCAGCTAATTTACATTTTCGATAATTGTTTCTACAATTTTTAAATGCGCATTGTGGCATGTTGACTTTTGCGTGGTCGAGGCCAAACTAATTCAAAATAAGCTCTCATGTCGTCAGGTGATATTTGTAGCCATTTTTATGCCCTTGTCGTGCCTTTGCCTAAAGATAGGGTTATCTAGTTTTACTAATCATTTATTTCTCACATTTGGATATGAAAGTTTTAAAGGCAGTCATTTACAAAATAAACTTCCTGTATGATTTTATTACATAATTCAACTTTCCAAAGGACTACTCTGTGAGTGAAATATACCAAACCCACAAAACTGTAAACTTGCTTTCTGTCTCTCTCTTCTCATCTTTAAATAGTCTAACATTGATTTTATTGTAAGAATGGGCGTTTATTCTACAGTGACCTTTAAACTGTTTAACATAGTTTTTAGTTTCTACCGCAAAACATGTATAAGTTAATTTCATTACATAACTTGGTACAATCCGTCACCAGTTGGAGATATGACACCAAGACACCCTCATCTCCAGCCAGTACTGCATTCCCTATTCCCTACAGCCAGAAGGTTAGAGTATGTAGCAAGAGTTAGGAATGTTATAAAAATTAAATACAAAATATTTCGAAACCTTTATATATAAACATTAAAAAGAACTTGATGTTAACTTCCCAGTCAAGTCTTACAATTTCTCTTTCAACATTGTTAATTAATAACATTTAAATAAAAGTAGAACTAGTTTTATTCTGAACTTTGATTTTGAAGTCACAATGAAATCCCGCCAAGATGAGCACAAGGAACAATGTTACCAATTTCAAAAATATGTTTTCTCTTACCCTTACACAAAAAAAAAAACTAATAACCGAACAAGATAAAAACAATTTCATTACATTCAACTAATTTACACTTTTAAAAACTATGACGTCAATTATTTTAAAATTAATTTACTTTACTTGCTTTTATAGACATGACTACCATCCGATCCATTGCCATGAATGTCCTTAACTGTATAGCAAATAAAATAATGAGTATTTTAAAAGTATGTAGGTACCTAGTTAATAATTTTTAATTTAATACATTCGTGATTAGTATTCCAGTAAAATTTAATAAAAAAAAAAGATGTTTTGTAAATTGTATTTAGAAGTGGCAACATTTTTATAAAGCGATCATGTTTAAGCAGACTTATAGTTATGTTGAAACATTTTTTTGTTACAAAATAACTTAAAACATTTTAAACTGAACTGATTTTGAGTAATTATATAAAATGGAATCCAGGTAATAATATAAAACCTTTCACAAAGTCTTCTTTACTAATGATAGTTATTAATTATTAACAGCCTGGATGTAGGTATCAATGTCAATGTAACTAAACGTTCAGTGCAGTTGTCAAATTCAGATTAAGCAATTTTCTGAAAAGGCGTCTAAAGTATTGCTTTTTTTGGGTATATTACTGTGTATTATCGTTTAAAAATGTTAGCTTTGATCAATCGTATCCTTGATTGGATTAAAAGCTTATTTTGGAAGGAGGAGATGGAGCTCACGCTGGTCGGGCTGCAATATTCAGGGAAAACAACTTTTGTTAACGTCATAGCCGTATGTATTTCACAAAACAATGATTTGTATACTTTTTGCTTCCTTATGCACTCTTTGTTCCGATATCTAAACCTAATATACACTTTAATATGTCATTGTTAATTATCTGGTGTACTAATCTATCATTTCCTTGATACAAATTGCAATATATATTTAATTTCTAGTGTATACGTCTGATTAATTGAATAATACATTTGGTAAATTTCATGCTAATCCACAAGTTTTTTTGTATAAATTACTTTTCAAGCTATAAAATTATTCTTACAATTATTATAATTTTATGTGGCATTTACGACATCAACTTTTTCTATATTATTATTTACATAACGATTTATTCAAGAATTTATGCAAATTGGGGATTATCATAGTGGTGTTAGAGATTGTTAAAATCTTGAAAAATAGGATCTGTCAATTCCATCTATCGTACTGGATTTAATTATGAATCTTGTATATTTTGAGTAATAACAATAAATACCTTATTTGCTCTCCCATTTGGTGCAGATGTACTAAAATAATGAGATAATATTCATGACTCATTTATGAGCTTATATATACAAGTGTAACACAATGGGGCCAACAGGGATGGTAATGTCTGGCATATATGTGCTTAGAATAACTTAAGTTAATTCCATTTTGTCTTATTATTACTCTAAAGAAGTAGAAACATTTACAGTACATGGTTTTATTTCCTAACACTGTTAATAGTCTCAAGTATTTAGACCAATAGTCAATACAAGGCACTTACATTAATTTTTGAAATATTTTACAAGTAAAGCTATATGACTTAGAGATAGAACCAGTGGAAACATTTAGTTGATCATATCCTATGTTTATATTTTTAAAGATCTTTGGTTTACAGTCAATAAGGTTTATTGTGGATGTTTTAATGATTACTTAGATTATCCAATACTGTTGTTATTGAAGCTTTAATCAATTATTTTAGTGCACACACACGCCATCTGTGTCTAGGACAAGTTTTCTCCTTGAATGCCAGCATGTTTCTGTTTGTTCACAACAAAGATAAGCCAACTCATTTAGATAAATCCCACTAATTTGTAAAATTATTTTTAGAGATATTCAAAGCAAAACTTTAATTGGGGTATGCAGGATTGATAAAAATACATATATGTACTCACTTTATTAATCTAAAATCTTTATAAATGATTTTTAATTTGATTTTAACCTATGAAGCAAATACTCTTGATAAAATTTTGGTAAACCTAATGATGAAAAAATTCTCTACAATATGCTATTTTGTAATTATTGGGATTTTAATCCAGCTTAAATTTTCTTCATTCATTGTAATATTTTAATTTTTTGATTTCAGTCAGGACAATTTAGTGAAGACATGATACCCACCGTGGGCTTCAACATGCGGAAAATTACTAAAGGAAATGTCACTATCAAGGTGAGTTATGCATTTGACTTCTTGAATATTCTTTACTAGTTTGTGCCCATGACTTTATCTACAGCTTGTGTTTTTCTTCCAGATTATTTTCAATGTCTTTGCCAAATTTCACTAAGATGTTAAGCTATTCTAGAGATTATTATCATTATCATCACCAGCTTATTATATGTTCCCACTGAGAGGCTTGTAGCCTATACCAAGTTAAGGTGACTAGGTCATAGTCAACCATGCTGGCTAAGTGCGAGGTGGTTGACTTCACACAGATCTTTAAATTTCTTCATCAATATGCGTAGGTTACATCATGATATTTTTCCTTCACCGTAAGAATGTTGAGTAAATTCTGTACATATCAAAATTTAAAAAAAAATCGAAAATCACATTGGTACTTGGTAGGATTCAAACTCAAGACCTTTAGACTACAAGTCAAGTGCTTAAACAACTGAGCCACCGACGCTCCTATAAAGATACATAGTATCAAAGATCCATTTTAAGTTTTTCACTTAATATTAGTATTAAGTGATTTTCATTATTATTTTTACAGGAGTATTAACTTTTTTTTTATTGCCAGGTATGGGACATTGGTGGGCAGCCTCGGTTCCGTTCAATGTGGGAGAGGTATTGTCGAGGAGTCAATGCTATAGTGTGAGTATACTCATAACTGTATCTTATCTGAATTGAGTAAAAAAAAACAACAAAAATTAATAAATTGAAGACAGCCTTGTCAATATTAAATAGTACATAGTTTTTTCTTTTTATTAATAGAAATAGTGTTTCCATACTACAGAGTTTTAAGTTAATTTAAGCTTTTGTAAAGAATAGGTGTAGCTACTATGCTAGCACATACCATCCTTCGACCACATCACCATTTACCATCAATTGGGAGTGTGGTCAAGCTCTGGTTCATTATTATTAATAAAAAAATCACTAAGTAAAAGAATAAGTCACAATTGAGGAGTGTGAGTGCCAGATCCGATTCTAGCTATACTAGATATGGGTGAGATATCCACGGCCATCTTTTTGTTAGATGACTAGGGGGGAGTTAAGTAAGTGAGTAGCGGAGTAGGCCAGTGACAGTAGAGTTGCGCAGGTACATGGTGGACGCGGCGGACCCTGACAAGATCGAGGCGTCGCGCAACGAGCTGCACAGCCTGCTGGAGAAGCAGCAGCTGACCGGCATCCCCGTACTGGTGCTCGGCAACAAGCGCGACCTGCCGCACGCGCTCGACGAGCACGGCCTCATCGAGCGCATGTACGTGAGCCCTCTACGCACACTGCACACTGTATCTTATACCTCAAGCCTCACACACCACACCTCATACCTCACACCTCACACCTCACACCTCACACCTCACACCTCGCACCTCATACCTCATACCTCACACTTCACACCTGATACCTCACACCTCACACGTCATCTCTGTACTCTCACGTGAAGGCACAGCTTGTGGCTCATGCACTGCGTTGTTAAATACCATTCAAAATTTTCATCACTTATAGTCGAGCGCCTATTAGTTCTTCTAGTAGACAAGACTTCTTAACCACTAATATGACGGAGCTGTTTGTGTTTTAAATTCACGGTTGGTTAGACAAATAAAAATTATTGTTAACTAGCTTCCGCTTGCCACTCTTCTTGCGTAGATTAAAGAATAAACAAAACAATCAGTCTACTTGACTATGTTTTCTTTTAGACTATCTTCTGTATCCATTCAGTACTTAAGATGGCAAATTATAACAAAAATCCATCCAACCAAACCTTTGCTTCTACAATATTAGTATGATTTTTAATGAGTTATTAATAATAATGTTGACAGGAACCTGTCTGCGATCCAGGACCGCGAGATCTGTTGCTATTCTATTTCATGCAAGGAGAAGGACAACATCGACATCACGCTGCAGTGGCTCATCGCGCACAGTAAGTCCGGCAGCGCGCGCTAGTCGCCGCACGGCGCATCACGCGTGTCACGTCATGTCGCGTCGCGTCACGCGTGTCACGTCACGGCGCGTCACGTAACGTCACATTGCGTCGCGACACGTCGCGTCACGCATGTCACGTCACGTCGCGTCGCGTCGCGTCACGTCACTGCGCGTCACGGCGTGTCACGGCGCGTCGCGTCACGGCGGCCTAACGCAGCGGTCGCGCCTTTACAATCTTCGAACGCCAACAGTTTAGCTATAATCGATGTTTTAAAATCGATAATAAATTACTTCAAAATTCTTAGCTTAAATATATCGGTCGGTAATTTTATAAGTGATTTGAGTTTTCGTATTTGATCATTTATTTTTCGATATCGATTCCGTATATGATTTGTTAGTAATTCAGTTGTATGAAGACTAGCGAAGTCTGCACATTCTGTTCGTTCCGCTCATTGCAGAGCTATCCATTTACAAATAATAGACTATATCGTAAAACATATGAAAATTATCATCTATCATATTGTAATTTAGAAATAAATTTCTAGTAAATTCTAAAATCACCGCTTTTTTGAGATAACATCTCTGACACAGCGGAATATGAAAATCTTATTCTAAACCTTAGCTTAAAGTTGCATTCAATATTAATTTTTAACATGTAACAAAGCTACAAAAAGTACTCGACTTCGCCTTACAGATGTCGGAGGAATTTTGAGGTTATGATGTATCATGAAATTGAATAAACTGCATAAAATACGCTTGTTACGTGTCCGCTTGGAGCCAGATTAGTCTAATATTGAAATGGTATAAGTAAAGGTGGGGTGTTTCCTTCGTATTGAATTACAATACAATTTGTTGCTGTTATCTCCGTAGTTTTCGAAAAAGATCTAACAAATATCTTGAGAATTACTAAAAATATAGACGAATTGATACGACTTTTGGGAATATAGTAAGTTCTACTTATAAGATATCTGTTATATTAATAAATAGCAGTTGAATTTAACTGTAATTCTTTACGAAGATGGGTTCTAATCAATTTAGGACATAATCAAATGTTAGCTTGAGATCGGACTCGCGTGTGACAATATAACGTATTCTTAACAAAAAAAAAAACAATACTTAGAAGGTGCCAATTACCCGAAAGACATTTATGAGAACGTAATATTGCCACATGTCAAAATGCACAACATCCGCGATGTGGCAACTGTGAGATTTTTTAGACGTCAATTTTGACAGCCCAGTGTTGCCAATGCTACCGCATTTACCGTGTATTTAGGCTTCGGAACAACAAATTGCAAAATCTACGGCCTACAGCTGTGGCAGATTTTACAACCTTTCAAAAATTTACAGTAATTCACTGTTTTTCTTTAATAACTACATTTTTAAATATTTTTTGATTGATTATTAAAAAAGTATTCATTGATTAAAAGAACCTGAAAAATTAAAGATTTTACGTTTAAAAATCTTATTATTTTAAAACATAGAAGGACAATTTTCAAACATTTTATTAATGTTAAAAACTTAACATTAGTGAAATTTAACTATGTTGAGGTTTTTATAAGTAGTGTAACAACCTATCGTTGGTCTTTTTTCATACATACAGCTTTACACAATATACACGGTCGGGTAAAAAAAAATATTGGCAACACTGCAGTTGCTACATGAGGCCGGTGCAAGTACTACGTTATATCTAGACTTTCTGATAGTGTTAGCATTATATAATTATTATAATTATCTCATATTGTTAGCTAAAGAATAAGTTTAAAAGGTATTTAGGTGTGAGATTAGTGTTGCTCCGCATTTGCTGTACATAAGATGGCAAACATGAAATTTATATTTTGAGTTAAACGTTCATACGTTATAGGTATTTTTATTTGACGCGATTTCGATGTATTTTGCTTAGATATACGTTTCAGTGGACTGCACTTTTGAGGTTATGTTTTTTACCTAGCAACACTATGTATAAGTTTTGTATTATAGTGAAACGGCACCTTTTATCGGTTTTCGTTTATAGATGTTTATAAATATTATTTAAAAAGCTGTGATTAAAATTTGTTTATAATACAATAAAACTGTTTGATTTGTAATCCCTTGGATTGTTTAGTGAAGTTTTTTTTTGTATAAACTATAAATCAAATAAAAGTTAATTCAGGTAAACAATATTAGTTGTACTTTTTTATGAATCTGCAAATATATAAGTATAACTAATGTTTTCTTAATCTTACCTAGAACACGGTTTATTGGTTACGAGTACGAATTTGGAAGTAATCATGTTTTTTTAAAATTTACTTCGATACTTTTATATGCATCGGTGCGTAACACTTGGCTGTAACATATTTATCCTTTTTTTCTATGATAAAGACACAAATAATTATATAGTAGTGATGATAAATTATTAAATTGTGTTAAAAAACGCATTTTGTTTTGCTTTTCTTACCTTTATATCCTGAGTTTCGTATATCAAGTCTTGACCAAAAGAGCTTATCACGAATGTTCGTGAGAATGCTTTCGTAATGTAATGATTTTCGTGCAACGGATAGAGCGTAAAACACCAACACAATTTGAGAATTGAGAGTCTGTCACAGATGAGTCTGTCGATAACGTTATAATATAATAACGAATACGTTTCTGCGACTCTGCGTGATAAACCTTCAGTTTATTTTCACGTCGCTCTGTAAGGTGCATTGGCTATTGAAATAAAAACAAATTTTTATTAATAATATCTTTAATTAAAACTTGTATAACATTAAACATATAAGTAATAAGATAGGAAATGCATTACAATAAAAGCTTCCTATTATAAGCATAATAAGATTATTAAAATTTGCATATTTTATAATCAACAAAACTATAAATAGATAAAATTTATTTGCATTCTAAAATAATGTAAATTTAAATAACATTTATAAGGTATACATTCTACATTAGGGGACGATAAATTGGAGAAATCGCTCAGCGAGAAAGGGATAAAAACTACAAGCCAAAGCAGCAAAGAATCGATGTTGCCATGGTTACCCAAATTCTCAGCCAATATTCATTGTTATTTTCTCATCATGTCAAGTCAGTTTTTAATAGTAATTAAATGTGGAAATGGTTGAAAGGTGGTCCTAAAATATTCTGCAGCAATTTCATGATAAAAACTTAAACTGTATCAAAATAACAAATTAGGTTTCAAAGTTCTCAGCTTGTTGCTTTGAATTTAGATGTGTGATTTAAAAAGCTGTCAGAATTTGAAATTTCAGTTGGTTTTCTTGATATCTCAATGTTAATTACGGAAATTTTAAAAATTCCACACTCACTGGTATCTCACTTTGTAAGAATGGTCTGAACTTTATATCTAGTTTTTGGTAATTTCATTAAAACTTTATTTTAAATACTTTTGAATGGCACTAAAAGGTAATCCTAAACGTAGATGATTATATTCTTATACTAGTATAGTATTATCTGTGCTTAGTCTGTTTTAATTAATTTCGTGTCGCACAGCTAATCGTAAAACATATGAGCTTGATGGCCATATATTACCCCACTACTTACATTCCTCCTGTATTCTAATTCCTCAGGGAATTGTGCAGATTTATCCAATTTGGATTTTTGAGAACGTTTTCTTGACAATTCGTAAGCCTTCTCCAGTTTAATAAGCCTCTTCTCTTGCAGCTCCAACTTTTGCGTCAGCAGGTCTAGTTTATCCACTATAGATTTCAGTAAAGCAGTTTGTCTGTCATCTGTCTGAGAGTTTTGTAAGTTACCTTGCTCCTGGCTACTCGTGTCGGAGATGGCCGCTGGAGACATGCTATGGCGCTGGTACATTTCGGAGCTCTTGAACTGCTCGATCTCACCAGGTTCGAGAAAGGCTAATATAGTTTTGTCGACATCATTAGCTTGGATGCTGTCCAGAACCTTCTTCAAGTTTTCCGTGTAGAGTTTCTGCTGAGCAGGCAACAAGCTCTCAATGAGATTGTTCTTGGGGTTCCAGAAGTAGGCTATGTTGTTCTTTTTGAGAGCGTCGTGAAATTCCTGCAGCATGACCCCGAAGAGGAAGCTCACACTGTTCTGCCAGAACTGCTTATCCTCTTTATCCACTTTCCAAAGGAATAACGTCTTAATGTAGTAGTTGGCGATGGCCTTCATCTTGAGGGCTGTGCGTAGCTTCTTCATCTGTAAGCGATAACGTTTCTTTTGTGGCATTTTCGGAAAGACAGTAAACAGTCTCAAGTTTAATACTGACATAATGCTTTTTATACATACAACAAAGAGGTAAAAATAATTTAAATAAATGTTTTATTCTATGGTTTATAAGCAGAGAAAACAAATATAATCAATGGTCATTACACTGTGAGGGACATAAATAATGAAATAAGAGTACTGTACACGTTACATATTGTAGATGTGGGCTTGTGGGAAGTTCACATACCAATGTCAGGACCATTTTGAGGTGGTGTAAGTCCTTGAGGATGTCGCGCTCGTGTTTCTGGAAGGAGAGTCTCCAGCAGCGGGAGCGGTCGGCGCCGCTCACCGCCTTGTTGGGCTTCGGCACCACCAGCCACTCGCGACACGACGGCCTCACCTTAAACGTCGTCCTAGTGACAAAGCCAATTCATATCATTTCTTAAATTAAGTTGGTTGCTAAGCATTATTTTTTAAACTCAAATAAGTGGTTTTAGTTAAAATCGAGTATGTTATTAATCTATCTATCTTACTAATGTTACTTCTTACTAATGTTATAAATGCGAAAGTTTAGATGGATGGATGGATGGATGCTTGTTAGCGTTTGTAGCCTAAACGGCTGAACGGATCTCTATGAAATTTGGTAAAGGTTTAGAGCATAGTCTGGAAGAACACATAGGCTACTTTTTATCCCGGGAATACTTACGGTTCTCGTGGAATTCATTAATTTAGTTTTTAATGTTTATTCGATCATTCTGCAACGGTTCAACATATCTTATTGAAATTTGGCACAGATATAAAACAAAGTCTGGAGTACACATGGGATAAGTTTCATCCCCGAGAAATGTCCGGTTCCCGAGGGATACGTAACTTTTTGTAATTTATATAGTTTGTATGTTTTCTAATACCACGCGGACGAAGTCGCGGGCAACAGCTCGTATATAATAAAGGAGTGTCTGTAATATCAAAAGAAAAACTCCAGATTTCGGGAAGGTGATGTATTTGCGTTGCTGATAACGAAAATCGCATTTAAAATTTTTTTGTCTGTCCGTCTGTCCGCAAGCCGCGTTTGTTCTGGGTAATCTCCGAAACGGTTGGACCGATTTCGACGGGACTTTCACTGAAGGGTAGCTGACATAGACGGGCACATCATTGGCTTCTTTTTATCCAGGAAATAGTCACGGTTCCCGTGGGATATACTGATTTTGTTTTTTTTAACATTAAGTAGATAGGTTTTTTTACAGTTCGTAAAATTGCGCGGACGCAGTCGCGGGCAACAGCTAATCTTATAATAATCCTTTATTTACCTTCCAACAAAGTAGTTAAGAAAAGAGTTTGTAAATAATAAATTTAGAATTACAATAAGGGTTACTTCGTAAATAAAAAGGGAAACTACGAATCCATAGCCAAACAGTACTAATACTATATTCATAACTAGCTGCTGTCCGTGATCTTGTTTTTGTCGATTTATGGGCGGCTAAATAGGCTGGAGCCTAGGCCGGCAGATTTTTTTCTTGCACAGAAAGAAAATATAAGTAAATACCTATGCCCGCATACGCAGGCGTTGTTTTGATGTTGTTAAAATTCGACGTTGGCAGTTCTCAAGCGACAAACGCATTAAGAACACACCTGTTACGTTTACGCAATACTCAAAATGAAACACTGTGCGATAGCAGAATGTCCCGTTGTAAATCTGTTGCAAACCAAGGACGCAGTTGCCCACATCCTCGCACGTCAAAGTGCCTCGTTCCTTGTCAATATTGTGGTCTATTTTGTAGGATCGATTAATTTAGTAATAGATATACCTTTAATTTGCAATTTATAATAATTTATTATGCTTTTCATTGAATACACTAATTGGCATAAAATGGCACTAAATGTTAAGTGGTGCTCATTACAACGCGACAGTGAAAATTAAATTAAAATCGGTTAAGCCGTTTCTGAGATTAGCGCCCAAAAACACACAGACAAAGCGACAGAATTTTAACTCCTTTGCGAACTTCCTTTGAGAACCTAAAGCAAACCAAGAGCCCCTTGACAGAATTCGCTGCACACCCTGCGCCGGCTTAATCCGGCATCGGCATTATAAATTTTATGAAATAACTATTGAATGTGATGTTTAAATATTAACATTTTTATATATTTTGGTAACAACACTAAAAACAAATTACGCTACTTAAACATACCTACATTATGTCAATAATTATTTATTTGTCATTGTCATTGTAGAGAAACTAAAGATAAACTTCCAAAGCGGCTGTATAACATAACCATGTAAAATTAGTACGTATAAATAATTATAGTGTTAAATACAAGTATTGCTAGACCCACCTGTAGCCCATAGGCCATATGGGAAGTCTAACCATGATGACGGGCACCAAGTCTGCATCTAATTTGAATTCCTCATCATTCTCAACATTTCTTATATACAGAGTGTATGTAGGTCCTGTCTCCTTGTATTTCATAAGGTATGTGGTACCATTGACTGTCGCACGGTTATTCATCTCGTTGAGGGCCTTTTGAATTACCCCATGCATCCAACTCCGGAATTGATCTTGCAATAGATACTTGTCAGTGTCCCTCCAATCTCTGGTTACTTTGTGGCATTGCTCAAACTCCTGCTGCTCGTGGAGGCTGTCAAACGCTCTGACTATCTTCAGCCGCACAAAGCCGGGCTCACCGTACTCCATAGCAATACCCACGTAGTTGATAGGCAGCTGGACCACTATGTCTATATTTAACTCGTCTATTTTGCTTGTCTTGGTTCCGTCATATACGCTACCACCGTACATAACCTTTAGAAAAAAATGCCATAAATCTGTTTGAATTTTTTCAGTAAGTTTGTGTAAAAAAAATCTATAAATCACTATAAATAACTTGCTGTAATTTAATATTTTCACATGCTATCAAATTACAAGGAACTTTACAGGAAGGTAATTAGAATATTATTTACCTCGTCACTGTATTCTCTAAAGAAGTTGTTTTGTTCGCTCATCTTCTGTTTGATTTGTTCAAAAATATTTTTAAACACCTGCTGTGCTCTACTGACGTCATCATCTTTGATGGCAATGAACTGCTTATGTACCTCCTCCAAATAAACATCCAGTTTCTTTTTTTCAACTGACATATCTGACAAAATATAAATGTATGATCTTGATCACTCTTAATAATAAATTATGGTTGTTATAGAGTCGGTTGAAAATTACTCGAACTATCATTGAATGATGATTATAAAAGTGGCCATACCTGTTGATTTTTATGTGAAACTTCACTAGTTTTGTAGTTTGATTTAATTTTACTAATCAATGTTATTAATTAACTCGTTTTGTTATCAATTAGATTATTATATAAGTGTGCACTGTAAACGCACAGCAATCACTAAGATCAATAATTGAAATGAAATCGGAATGGCCGCCGGTTTTGGTAGTTCGCACAAGAAATATAACGTCTATTGATTTTATTATTTTTTTGTGCTACAATAGCTTTGACCAGGCAGGCGAAACTTTTTAAATGACACTTCTCTGCTTAATTGACCCGAGTTAGAAACCGAGCGGCTTTCATCCTAGGTCGCCTTTCCACGTTATTTAAAAGAGCAAAATGTCCCTTCGCATTAAGGTGACACTCTATAAATCAATATGCGTCCCGTTATGACGTACTCTAGCCCGGTATTCGCGCACATCTCGCCGAAACAAATACACCGACTTCAGGTGATTCACAATAGATTCTTGCGCAGAGCCACGGGAGGCCCGTGGTACATGCGCAATAGCGATTTACACATAGACTTGGACTTGCTCACCATAGCCTAACACCTGAAGCTGGCGTCGTGTCGTTATTTTGACTTTGCCGTTGGTCATTTTAATTCGTTAATTTTAGGTGCCGCCACCTACAACCCAATCGCGCTCGGCAAATTTCGACGTGATCATTGCAGACCTAGGCACGTTCTTGACTTTCAAGACAACAATCGCTCAGGCTAGGATTAAACAATTACGCAGTCACACTACATGCTGCAGTCACTGTCGACTTCGGCAATCATTCTCACGATATGGCCTCATAGCAGGCAGGTTTTATCCTATTAATGATAGAAGCGTTGCTGGAGTTTCTTGCGCCACTTCTTCTCTCAGCGATAACGCTTCCCGAGGTGGTAGTAATGTTAGATATATTAATAATAATAGTAATCAGTAGATAGTAATCAGATAGCAGCAACCGATCATGCCGAAGATAGCCCCTCTCGGGCACCTTTGAATCGGAATACCAAACGCCTATTGAGTGACAGCCGAAGCCGAGGTCACCTCTCGGGGTCCTTGTGCCTAGTCACTCCATGGAGCGCCCACCGAAGCCATCTTAGAGCTAGGCAGCCTCCCAATCCGGTAATAATAACGAAGTAATGGACCATTGAGCGTCGGTGGCTCAGTGGTTTAAGCACTTGACTTGTAATCTACAGGTCTTGGGTTCGAATCCCGCCGCCATGTACCAATGTGATTTTCGATTTTTCGAATTTTCATATGTACATAATTTACCCGACGTTCTTACGGTGAAGGAAAACATCGTGATGCAACCTGCACATATCGGCGAAGAAATTCAAAGATATGTGTGAAGTCAACCAACCCGCACTTGGCCAGCGTGGTTGACTATGGCCTAGTCACCCTAACTTTAGGGTAGGCTCCGAGCCCCTCGGTGGGGACGTATAGTGAGCTGGTGATGAGTGAATGGACCATCCCAGGGTGTGATGGAGCCTTTGAGCTTATTTACTCATAAACGAGGCTCAGTCTAAGCGCCATCTGCGCTGGGCCACCTCAAGCCCGGTGAATTTGTAAATGCCTCTTCAAAGCAAACAGTGGCAATTCAGTCACAAAAAACCATGAAAGTACTACTAGAACTGGAAAGAGCTCTTGTCGCAAAATTGAAGCCGAGCGAGACCTCAATAATTGTCCGTTTTATCCCTCTCTGGTGAGGGTGACTATGTTGAAACATGATTTAAGGACAATAATTATAAAAATCTTGTTTTTGTTGTCCGATGTCAGCTGATTATTGCTTCAGATGGATTTTAACGTATAATTGTTATCATAATTTATTTACTAAAAACGATACAAAATACATTATTCTAAATCAGACATTGCGAAATAAAAGTTTATTCCGCAAACCTAGCTTATTCCTTATCTTATATCTATTTGTTCTTGAACTAGGTTTGCATAGTCATGCACGGTCCCTGTAATTTCTTCACCAACAAATTATGCTTAGAACCTGTGCAAATATAACCCACAATAAGCATAATACTTGCTTTGGGAAGCCTACACAACACAAATTCTTCCCATTTTAACTAAAATTCTTCAAAGTTATCACGAAATCAGAAAAGACCAAGTCAGAATGTCATGTGATGTGGGGTTGTTAGTTTAGGTTTTATATCCTCTTTGATTCAGGTGTTAAAACCTTATTAACGCAAATGTTTTGCTCTAATAAGGTTTTACACGTAGCAACAAAAATGTTTCTTTAACATGTCGATAAAAAATTTTCATTAGTATTTAGAAACGTTTTAGAAGTAAATATTTTTTCTTCATTACATTACATCAATCGCCTATATTCTACAAATCAAGAGAGGATTGATATCTGGCAACTATAAGTCACTGTTAGAAAAAGACACAGTAGACACTTGTAGATTGTAGCCCTCTCCCTCTGGTTCAAATTAATTTTGCGCGTAACAAGACTCTTATAACCTTAGCATAAGGTTTTGTTTTCTTTATTTTAATTGCAAGATGTACAGACAGAACTGATTCCTATTGTACTTAGTATTTTTACTTCCATGGATAAACTATAATGATGTTTAAACTGTCATCTAAAGACTTTCGCTTGCCTGATGGCAGGGATTGTCCTTTTAGCCAAAATAAAAGCCAGTAAAAGCTATTGTAGCCCATAAAAATAATACACGACACGTTATATTTCCTGTGCGAACTACCAAAGCCGGCGGCCAATCTGATTTTATTTCAATTACTGTACTTAAAGTGATTGCTGTGCGTTTACAGTATTTAAAAACTAATTGATAACAAAACGAGTTACTTAATAACTAGTGAAGTTTTACACAAACAATCAACAGGTGTGGCCACTTTTACAATTGTCATTCAATGATTGTTCAAGTAATTTTCAACCAACTTTATAACAACCATAACTTAGTATCAAGAGTGATCAAGATCATACATTTATATTTTGTCAGATATGTCAGTTAAAAAGAAGAACCTGGATGTTTATTTGGAGGAGGTTCATAAGCAGTTTATTGCCATCAAAGATGATGACTTCAGTAGAGCACAGGAGGTGTTTAAAAGTGTTTTTGAACAAATCAAACAGAAGATGGGCGAAAAATGCAACTACTTTAAAAAATACAGTAGCGAGGTAATCTTTCGATCATATATTAATAAGCTTCCTGTAATTTGATTTGAGGAAATATCATTGTTTTATTTTATTTTAGGCCCTTTAATTAAAACAGATTATTAGTGATTTATTGATTTATTTTCACACAAAAAAGTTTTTACTGAAAAATTTAAACAGATTTATGGCAATTTTTTAAAGGTTATGTATGGTGGTAGCGTATATGATGGAACCAAGACAAGCAAAATGGATGAGTTTGATATGGACATAGTGATCCGGCTGCCTATCAACTACGACGATATTATAATGGAGTGCGGTCAGCCCGGCTTTGTGCGGCTGAAGATAGGCAGCGCGTTTGACAACCTCGACAAACAACAGGAGTGGGAGCAATGCCACAAAGTGACCAGAGAATGGCGGGATACTGACAAGTATCTATTGCAGAATAAATTTCGGAGTTGGATGCATGGGATAGTTCAAAAGGCCCTGAACGAGATGAATGACTGTGCAAACGTCAATGGTACCACATACCTTATGAAATACAAGGAGACAGGACCTGCATACACTCTGTATATAAGAAATGTTGAGAATGATGAGGAATTCAAATTAGATGTAGACTTGGTGCCCGTCATCAGGTTTATGCTTCCGAGATGGCCTAAGGGCTACAGGTGGGTCTAGCAACACTTGTATTTGACAGTATAATTATTTATACATACTAATTTTACATGGTTATGTTATACAGCCGCTTTGGAAGTTTCTCTACAATGACTTCAAAAATGATGAATTCAAAAAGCATAGTGTGTTTTAGTGTTGTAACCAAACTATATAAAAATGTTAATATTTGAACATTACGAATTTTGACAATCAATAGTCATTTAATAAAAATTATAATACACTACAATAAAGTATTGCATGAGGTAAGTAAATAATATATTGTGCATGTGATTTTACTGCATCTGCTTCCTCAGGATTCAAAACAAAGGGGGATTTTCCCATTTATGCCAGGAATTGTACATTATAGTAATCATGTACCTTTTTCTTCAAAAGGAATTGTCTATTTTTTGTGTGGGAGGTGGTTTGGTAAACTAACAAAACTCATATAAAGATTATTAATAAATAAAATTGTAAAGATAATTAGATCGTCGGTGGCTCAGTGGCTTGAGCACTTGACTTGTAATCTACAGGTCTTGGGTTCAAATCCCGCCATGTACCAATGTGATTTTCGATTTTTTCGAATTTTCATATATACATAATTTACCCGACTTTCTTACGGTGAAGGAAAACATCGTGATGCAACCAGCACATATTGGTGAAGAAATTCAAAGATATGTGTGAAGTCAACCAACCCGCACTTGGCTGGTTGACTGTGGCCTAGTCACCCTAACTTTAGGGTAGGCTCCGAGCCCCTCGGTGGGGACGTATAGTGAGATGGTGATGAATTAAAAGATAAAAAACAGAATTTTGGTATCATCATATGCCTGTGGGAAACACCGAAGAAATTGTTTTCATTGTCATGTGTTGTTGTAGCTTGTCTAAATAAGATTAGTTTGATAAATGACGCGTATGAATTATCGAATTAAATTTGTATGAAGGCAAATGCCGTACTTAATAGACACATATCGTAGCGCCGAAACAAATTTTTAAATAAAATTTGTCGAACTTAAATAAAATTATTATTTTCTTATTAACTAGTTTAGAAGACACATCTAGTATTGATTATAGTGTAGAGAATTTACCGATGACAATAATAATAGCGAAATCCAATTCGATTATGTACGGCTGTAGTAAGTAAATATTTGTTTACTCTCATTATTTGTAATGGTTCTGCAGGTCATTATTAATTTGAGAAGACAGTATTTTATTAAAAATTCCTTTTTTCATGCCTGATTTTACACAACCCATCCCTACTAAATTGTTTCATGAATTTTCAAATTAATCTATCTCATTTAGACAAACTATAGTCGTATTTTTCAAACTGATGTCTGCGCCTCTATTCACCCTAGTTTGGTCTAACAAAGCTGGAGCCTTTTTCGCCAGTATATAGTTTGATAGCATCACACTTCTCATCAAACCACAAAAAATGATTTAAATTAAAATGAGTAGCTTCATATAAAATAATAATCAAAATATAGAAATATTTACGACGATGGAAACGAATTCTCGTCAAGGCAAGTGACAAATGACAATGTCAATCAAAGCATGACAGCTAATGTCTCTTTTTTTGACAGACTAAATGACAGCCTCTAAAAAAAATATATGACAGCAGCAGAAACGTATATACAGCCAGAATTAATTCATGTTTTGCGAATTTCTTTATTATAATATGCATAAATAAATTATTACTAGCGATTCAAAGTTTTGTTTTGGTTATAAAAACGGTATTTCTTTTTTATAACAAAATGTCCACTGTAAAATATTAAGTAAATCTGCAGTATAAAAGTACATTTTAAAACAAAATGGCGGTTCAGAAAAAAAAAATAATACATGTTTCTTATTTCTCTTTTCATTCTTCATCTTTTGTATATAATTGCTTTCCTGGTAGTTTACTTTCGAAAAAAGGCCTACTTTTGTACAACTCCTTTATTATTTAAAAACTTTTCCTTGAGTACTTTTTTGGAAGGTAAATAAAGGATTATTTTAAGATTTATAACATACTAGATTTTAACTAAAATGTCTTAATTGAATTTAACAAATAATGCTTAGTAACCAACTTAATTTAGGAAATGATATGAATTGGCTTTGATATTAGGACAACGAATAAGGTAAGGCCGTCGTGTCGCGAGTGGCTGGTGGTGCCGAAGCCCAACAAGGCGGTGAGCGGCGCCGACCGCTCCCGCTGCTGGAGACTCTCCTTCCAGAAACACGAGCGCGACATCCTCAAGGACTTCCATCACCTCAAGAAGGTCCTTAGATTGGTATGTGAACTTCCCACAAGCCCCTATCTACAATATGCAACGTGTACAGTTCTCTTATTTCAATTTTTATGTCCTTCACAGTGTAATGACCATTGATTATATTGGTTTTATCTGCTTGTAAATCATAGAATAAAACATATCTTCAAATCATTTTATCTCTTTGTATGTATAAAAAGCATTATGTCAGTATTAAACTTGAGACTGTTCACTGTCTTTTCGAAAATGTCACAAAAGAAACGTTATCGCTTACAGATGAAGAAGCTACGCACAGCCCTCAAGATGAAGGCCATCGCCAGCTACTACATTAAGACATTATTCCTTTGGAAAGTGGATAAAGAGGATAAGCAGTTCTGGCAGAACAGTGTAAGCTTCCTCTTCGGGATCATGCTGCAGGAATTTCACGACGCCCTCAAACAGAACAACATACCCTACTTCTGGAACTCCAAGAACAATCTCATTGAGAGCCTGAAACCCGCTCAGCAGAAACTCTACACGGAAAACTTGAAGAAGGTTCTGGACAGCATCCAAGCTAATGATGTCGACAAAATTATATTCGCCTTTCTCGAACCTGATGAGATCGAGCAGTTCAAGATCTCCGAAATATACCAGCGTTGTAGCATGTCTCCAGCGGCCGCTGCATGCAAACCTTCCAGAAGTTCCTCGATCACCTCCAGCACGAGTAGCCAGGAGCAAGGTAACTCACAAAACTCTCAGATGGATGACAGACAAACTGTTTTACTGAAATCTATAGTGGACAAACTAGACTTACTGACGCAGAAGTTGGAGCTGCAAGAGCAGAGGATCATTAAACTGGAGACGGCTTACGAACTGTCAAGAAAAGGTTCTCAAAAAACCAAATTGGAGGAAACTGCACAAGTTCCTGACAACATGAGAAATGTAAATGCTGCCCCACAATTTGACTCTGATGCTCTTATTTTGTTTTAGCTGTGCGACACGAAATTAATTAAAACAGACTAAGCACAGATAATACTATACTAGTATAAGAATATAATCATCTACGTTTAGGATTACCTTTTAGTGCCATTCAAAAGTATTTAAAATAAAGTTTTAATGAAATTACCAAAAACTAGATATAAAGTTCAGACCATTCTTACAAAGTGAGATACCAGTGAGTGTGGAATTTTTAAAATTTCCGTAATTAACATTGAGATATCAAGAAAACCAACTGAAATTTCAAATTCTGACAGCTTTTTAAATCACACATCTAAATTCAAAGCAACAAGCTGAGAACTTTAAAGTCTAATTTGTTATTTTGATACTGTTTAAGTTTTTATCATGAAATTGCTGCAGAATATTTTAGGACCACCTTTCAACCATTTCCACATTTAATTACTATTAAAAACTGACTTGACATGATGAGAAAATAACAATGAATATTGGCTGAGAATTTGGGTAACCATGGCAACATCGATTCTTTGCTGCTTTTGGCTTGTAGTTTTTATCTCTTTTCGACCGACTTCTCAAAAGAAGGAGGTACTCAATTCGTCTGTATGTTTTTTTTTTCGCTGAGCGATTTTTCCAATGTATCGACCCTAAGTTATGTATGTATACCTTATAAAGGTTTTTTTTTACATTTATTCGTAAGACTGCAAATTAATCTTATCTATTTATAGTCTAAATTTAATTATAAAATACGCAAATTTTAATGATCCTATAATAATAGGCAAGTTTTTATTGTAATGTATTTTCTATCTTATTATTAATGTGATTATTTTGATGTTTTATATTTTTTAATTAAAGAGACTAATAAAATCATTATTGTTTTTAATTTTTTGTTTTAAATTTTGCACGCGTAGACGCAATAGGTTCATTGCCCTCTAGATCCTAAAGCTGAAAGTATCAAGAAAGTATGCGCAGGGTCAAGATGACTATGTCTTATCACTTTTGACATGTTTGCATTCTCGTCCGAAGAAGTTTTGTATGAATTCCACAAAGAATAGAATTCCAATGACATTTGGCCGTCAGTCTTCTCGGGGTGTCACAGATTTACATTATTTGATTTTAAATGTATTAAATATGAAATACTTTGAACAATCACCATTACATATCATGGATTTCCCCTCAAAGGTAACAATTCTTGTTCAGTATCTAAAGGATCTGACGTCGATGGCATATTCAGTATGATGTAAACATACCAAACTTTGGTCGTCATCAAAGATAGGTTGAGGGCTTCACAGGGTTGTAATGAAAGCATTTAATAATAGAGCAATTACTTTATTACGATTTTAAGGCTGTTTACATTTAATTATGTGTAGTCTTTACGTTTTAACTAGACGTTAGCAGAATATCTTACAAAATACAAAAGCTTTATGTTTTAGTATTTATGTTCTACAACAAATTACGCCATTTACATAAACGGGTACTGAGATTAATAAATAATGAGAATGACAGGAATGGATAAAATAGTCATACACAGTAAAAGTATCTATTTCCAGTAAAGAGTAGATGGCAGACCGCGACAATCCAGCAGTGCCGTTCGCGGCTGGCTTCGTGCTGGGCGCCTTGATAACTGTGCTCGGCTACAAGTTTTTCTCCAGTTGCCCGCCTGGACAGACGCATCAGGTCGCCGCCCAGGTCAAGTGCACATGCAAGAAGGGTAGTAAGGAAGAGGTTTGTGGCAATGGCAACATGTGAAAATAGTTTTCTGTTCTTAATTGTGTTCTTTTAGGTTATGTTGTACGTCTATGTTGAATTTCATCGAGATCCGTTACGCTTTTTTGGAGATACGTAGAAAAAAATGGTTCATCTAAAATTCCGCATTTACATGTGTTATTAGTAAGAAGAGTGGTTGACGCTGCAGATTTTTCATTTCGTTTTTTTTTTTGCTTCAGTGCAAGATGCATTGTGTACGCGGTGACCACAAATGTTCCTGAACTCCATGACATGCACGCAGTAAAGAAATAATCCGTCTGAGTTTTGTCAAAATTCTGTCACTCATCTGTGACACTTAACAACCTCTGTCAATTTAAATTGCATTTGTAAAAAACGTTTTATTAAATTTTTGTAAAGAATAATGGGTAATACATGAATAATGGCCAAAGACATAAATTTCAATAACTTTATAAACTAAACTCAACTGTTCCACGATGTGCGATTGGTAAGTATTGTAGAAATTCAATTTTCTGCGTATATCTTTAATGGAAATTTTATGAAATTTAGTTTATTTATTAATTTTGGTTGTAAAAGTTTCAAAATTGACGCTCTTATCAGCTCACAAATTATACCTCAAAACTTAATTCAGTAGCTTAAAAAGCTATCAGTGCCCAGACGCACGGCAATCTTGTTGGTTTGGGGTTCCCCTGGTTTTTATAAGTAATAAGCTTTTAGATGCTTTTGTTTGTGGTTTGTTATATTTCGTTTGTTGGTCTTTTAGCGACTGATTTGTAAGGGCTTTGTTGCGTTTATATTGTTTCCTAGTGCCGAGGAACAACAGAGGCAGGCGGAGAAACGCGCGGAACAGAGCGGGTCGCGGACGCGCCTCGTTGGGTCCGGGGGCGAGGGCGCGGCGCGCTACGCGGAGGAGCGCGCCGGCTGCCGGCTGTTCACGTGCGGGCTGTGGGCGGGCGGCGCGGCCGGCGCCGGCGGCTGGCTGCCCTACGCCGGCTCCGCGATGCTCCTCGCGCTCATGGTCTACATGCTGCGCAACGTGCGCAAACATGTCAACTTATCTAACTTGCCTAACTTGCCGAAATTGCCTAAAATGGGCAATTTGTTTGGAGGCTCTACAACAGGATCCGGGGCGAAGGAAAACTATAAATGCGAATATTATAAATAAGGCTACCGATGCAAAAATTGTCGCTTCACATTCAGATTGTTTTTTGAACTTTAAGATTTTAAAAATATAATTAGCCATTTATATGTTAAAATTTCTTATTATTTTTCTATTGATTTAAAAACCAAAACTTTTTCTTACAATTAGACATTTCATTTAGCGCGGTCGTGAGTGCGTATTGCCGCTGTGTAAAGGGGTGACTACTCAATAAAACATTTGTTGTTTCATAACCTTCCTTTTATTTAATTAAACGTATTTATTTCTACACAATGCCCTTGTTCTAAGAAAGGACAAATAGATTTTGCGTATTGCTTTTATCGTAGGGTTGTGTGCGATGTCTCACGAGATGCCATCAAGAAATCTTCTTTATTGAGTCGATCTGAAACATGAAAAAAAATCTTGTTGAATGTTCACATCTATCAAGATTTCGAGACGAATTTAATTACAATAAATTTTAATTGTATAAATGTAATTCTATTTCTATAAATGTAGAGCTACTTGATGTAAGTGATCAGCCGCTGTCAGAGAGTGAAGAAGGTGGCTTGCGGTGGTCACACACCCCGCTCTTACATTTCCTTTTCGACTAATGACCGTCCTATTTAACCCACGCTGTCGTACAATGCCAGGACAAACGTGGACCTTACGCAGCTTCTCACTACCATATTATGCTTGTCTACAAATTATCTGTTTTCCGAACAGCAACATCCGGATTCATTTGACTTTTCCAATTTTGTTAAGATAGACTATGTATGGTTCACGGAAAACCCGACAAATACAACATCGGGACATTTATTGACGCAAATTGAAAAGGAAATGTAACAGCAGTGGGTTCAAAAAACTATATTAAAAGATAGCTGTGTCCAGATGAGCTCTACGTAAAGACCGAGCAGGTTTGAATGGCATCCAAAAAAGACCGCAGGCGGCGACGTGAGTCAGTATTGAATATCTTGTGCATGCGGCAGTGACACGCGGCCCGCACAAGATACCCGACACCGGCACACGTCTGCTTCTTGTTTGTTTCTTCTACGTCTTGATTCTTCATTCTTCTATCTTGAGCTCTTTCAAATTTCATATACAAAATGAAATTAGAAAAAATAAAGACCAAGAAAACGTCTTTCTGATCTCATGATATGTCGAGAGACTAGGGATCTGTAGGCCATAGTAAGCCAAGCTGGCCGTAGTAAGCCAAGACTGCGGGTTGACTTCATACATATTTCTATGTCTCTTCACAGATGTATTCAGTTTGCGTTATGATGTTTTGCTTCAACGTAACAACGGATAAATATACATATGGAAACAAATATATATTGGATTTGAACCCAGGATCTGCAGACTACTAGTCAAGTACCCCTTAGCCACCAACATCCTCGAGGTTAAGTAATAGGCATGATTTGATATTTACCTCCAGTTTATCTTCCACAGCAAGAATCGACAACACGTGGAAGACGCGGGGGTTGCGGGCAATGGTTCAGCGATGACTCAAACGCTGGTCTTTGCAACTTGGATACTCCTGTTGGTTGAAAAATACAAATGTTACTATAAATAAATGTTTTTGTCGCCGAGCCTCCAATAACAACAACAACCTTTCTTGCCGTAGCGAATGCTCCAACACAGCATGAAGTATTGTAGATACAACGCTAAGTCAAATAATGTAAATCCAGCTTTTAAATACGCTCCATCCTGTGTCAGTCAAAAGTGACCTCAACGTTCCATTCAATAGTTGTAAAATCCAATCAACAGATGTCAGCAGTGAACGACATGAGTCAGTATTGAATATCTTGTGCATGCGGCAGTGACACGCGGCCCGCACAAGATACCCGACACCGGCACACGTCTGCTTCTTCATATACTTTTCTCATCTTGAAGTTTCATTTAGTTTTCAAAGCTGTAAGCGAGAACCGTAGTTAACTGTAGTTGTACAGTCAAAAAAAATCTAACTAAGAAAAAAATTACTTTCCTTTCCATTGAAAGCGACTATATCTATATATCTGTCGGAATAGTGAACGTAAATATGTTACGTTAAGTGAAATACAAATATCACATCACAAATAACTTTACAATAAAGAAAAATAATCAAATAATATTATTAATCTCTTGCTTTAACCTCGGCTTGGCGAGATCGCTCGCGGTGATCACTAGCAATACCATATAATAGGATTACTGGGTTTATTCCACGAGCGGGGTTGACTGGAGTAATCTATATCCTGGTCTCACGCAAAATACGCGTAAGCCGTAGAGTTGTTGAAGCTGTAGCCCCTACTTCTACATTGTCGTTATTGACGTGAGTCAGTATTGAATATCTTGTGCATGCGGCAGTGACACGCGGCCCGCACAAGATACCCGACACCGGCACACGTCTGTTTCTTGTTTGTTTCTTCTACGTCTTGATCCTTCACTCTTCTTTTTCGTTTCTTTTCAAATTCAGTAAACTTAATGAGAAAAGAGAGGTAAATTATCATCTAACGCGGCGTTAGCTCCCTACGTCACCATTGAGGGGTTCCCAGCCTATCCTGAATTAAGGGAGTTTAGACCATAGGTAACTACGCTGCACTATGGGTTGACTTCACAAATATCTTTGAATTTCTTCACAGGTAATTAAATACTAGGAATAGGTATGATTTGATGTTTACCTCCAGTTTATCTTCCACAGCGAGAATCGACAACACGAGGAAGCCGCGGGAGTTGCGACCAATGATTCAGCGATGACTCAAGCGCTGGTTCTTGCAACTTGGATACTCCTGCTGGTTGTAAAATACAAAAGGTTACTTAAATAAATTGTACAATACAAATATTTTTATCGCCGAGCCATCAATAACATCAACAACCCTTCTTGCTGTAGCGAATGCACTACCACAGCATGAAGTTTTATAGATACACCGCTAAGTCAAAGCAAATTAGGCACATTCAGCTTTTAAATACACTCCATCCTGTGTCAGTCAAAAGTGACCACTTCGTTTCTCACAATAGTTGTAAAATCCAATCAACAGATGTCAGCAGTGAACGACATGAGTCAGTATTGAATATCTTGTGCATGCGGCAGTGACACGCGGCCCGCACAAGATACCCGACACCGGCACACGTCTGCTTCTTCATATGCTTTTCTCATGTTGAGATCTCGTTTAGCACTCAAGCTGTAAGCGGGACCCGTAGTTTACTGTAGTTGTACAGTCAGCTACATGAATCTAATCTACAAACTTAAACATACCCGTTTGTTGCAAACCGAAGGTTTATTTAAGTTTATAGAATGTGTAAATGCATACATGTAGCTGAATGTACGCTACCTAAGTAAAAAATTCGTTTTAGCGAATCTTCCATTACATTGAGAAGTATCTGAATTCTTCTGTAGTCTTCGCCTCTCTTCTAGAAGCATCAGTTTTCGCGGAACTTTCTGCCTCATACAGCCGAGTTGTGGAACGGTCTGTCCTTGGCAGAATTTCCAAACCAATACGACTTAAGATCCTTCAACAACCTTCAAACCTTTTAATAACTAATATATTGTACTTCAATCGTCGTAAGTGACATAAGTCAGTATTGAATATCTTGTGCATGCGGCAGTGACACGCGGCCCGCACAAGATACCCGACACCGACACATGTCTTCTTCAACGCCTTGATTCTTCCTTTTAGAGCTATTTCAAATTTTGAATACAGGCTCACTATGTCAACACTGAGGGGTTCCGAGCCTAACCTAAATTAGGGGTGATTAGGCCATAGCTAACTACGCTGCACTGCGGGTTGACTTCAGACATATCTTTGAATTTATTTACCAAAATGTGCGGGTTAAATCACAATGTTTTACTTCACCGTAAGAACGTCGGACAAATGTACATACGTAAATCGAAAAAAACATCAATACATGGCGGGATTCGAACCCAAGACCTGTAGATTATAAGTCAAATGCATAACGCCGAAACCGCCGACGTTCTCAAGGGTAAGTAAGCACAGATAATACAATATTATACTAGTAATAGGTATGATTTGATATTTACCTCCATTTTATCTTCCACAGCGAGAATCCACAACACGGGGAAGACGCGGGGGTTGCGGGCAATGGTTCAGCGATGACTCAAACGCTGGTTCTTGCAACTTGGATATTCCTGTTGGTTGAAAAATACAAAAGGTTTCTCAAATAAAATGTTTTCATCGCCGAGCCTCCAATGACAACGACAACCCTTCTTACTGTGGCGAATGCTCCAACACAGCATGGGTTATTGTAGACACAACGCTAAGTCAAAGCAAATTATGTAAATTCAGCTTTTAAATACGCTCCATCCTGTGTCAGTCAAAAGTGACCACTTCGTTCCTCTCAATAGTTGTAAAATCCAATCAACAGATGTCAGCAGTGAACGACATGAGTCAGTATTGAATATCTTGTGCATGCGGCAGTGACACGCGGCCCGCACAAGATACCCGACACCGGCACACGTCTGCTTCTTCATATGCTTTTATCGTCTAGTTTAGCATTCAAAGCTGTAAGCTGGACCCGTAGTTCACTGTAGTTGTACAGTCAGCTACATAAATATGTATGCATTTACGCAATCTACAAACTCAAATATACCCGTTTGTTGCAAACCGAAGGTATATTTAAGTTTGTAGATTGTGTAAATGCAGACATATTTATGTAGCTGACTGTACGCTACCAAGTAACAAATGCGTTTTAGCGACTTTTCCATTATATTGAGATACTTCTGAATTCTTCTGTAGTCTTCTCTCTTCTACCAGCATACGTATAGTGGAACTCAAAAAAATGGGAAATCATAACAGACCTATGTGAACGATTTTACTTATATAATGCTGTAGTTATAGACTAATTAAAAACAGTTTTTTTTAAGTATTTTTAACAATATAAGCACATTTTTGTTAATTGACTAATCTTTCCTTTATCATTGTAACTAAGATCTACGCTAGGACATGGTTTACAAAAGTCGGATGGCGAGATTCGAACACTCGGCCATGTGATCGGAAATTCCCCTAACCACTAAGCTATTCGCGCTTTATACAACTTCTTACTAAAACTTTCCAAAATAAATCCATGTCTATGGATATATTGTCTAATATAATGGATATATATTGTCTAATAAGACTTTGTCGGTCAGAGAAATACATTTGTCATTTCCATTCAATGCGGCTATAATACAAATGTCGACACAATGAACGTTTATATGTTTCGTTGTTGAAACACATCGTACAAATATATTTACAATAAAAAAGATAATATTAAGAAAAATAACTTAAATGATTAACATCTCTTGCTTCAATCGTCGTTATTGACGTGAGTCAGTATTGAATATCTTGTGCATGCGGCAGTGACACGCGGCCCGCACAAGATACCCGACACCGGCACATGTCTGGTCTTCCGGAAGGCGCCATAAACATCATGATATAATACGAATAAAACAAATGTACATTCGATTCTAAAAGTTAATCATATCGTTGTATTACAGAGAAAAAAAAAACAATTAAGAAATCGTTTAACACTTACCTAAGATGCGAAATAGAGGATTTTTGCTGCTCACATCTTGCATTGTTTTTCGATGATGTGTCAGATCATTCCAGACATTTTTGGAGAGCTTTTTCGACAACTCGACAAGCGTTTCTGAACGCCTTGAATCATCTGCGAACAAGATGCGAGAAATAATTATTGCTATTTAAAATTAAAAGGCGTCGAAAAAAAATGTAAAGGTTGTTCCAACAAAAGTTCTAAACATAGTAAACAATGTAACCTCTCATGGAAACCAATTATATTTATTATATAAGCTACACATTATGCAATGTTTCCGCCGTGCCATAGACGTTGATAGAATGAGTGGATTTTGGTTTAAAATGTTTAGGTCTTGAGTTGGAATAAACTATACGTACCGAGATAAGCAGGGTGCCACTTGCTTCATGTAAACTTTGTAACTCTGTGATCGGTGCCATGGTAATGTTTTGTCCACATTGTGTACTCAGTGTTGTGTATTGTGAAAGGTCATGTTCAGTGTGTCATTAATTCTGCCTAGTAGTAGAATGTAAATAAAAACATGAAAACAACAGTAAAAAACTGTTGAAATAAAAATAAAAACATTTCATTACTGAGTGAATTTATTTTGTACAGTTACGTAAAAAAGTGTGTTTAATGTTCTAAATAATACGTATAATATTAACCATTGGTGTAGTGTAGTGTTCAAAAAAGAAATAAAAAAAAAACAAGTATTGAAACAAAATATATTTAATACCACCTTTCATTATTTTCCTTACAAATTGTAATTAAAACGCCTCAGTCGGCTCAACTATGTATAACTATTGCAAGTCCGGGTAATGTAAAAGACACAACCGCGATAACAAAACGTCCTAATTTAACGTTAGTGCCTCACAAGGAACGTTAGGATCTATAGTGAAAACACATCTGTTCTCCTATCCCAAAGCTGATGATCCTGGACTCTGTCAGTAACGACGTGTTAGCTTTTAAAATTTCCTCCGTAACATTTTTATTAAACAGGCCTTAATACTTTGAAACTAATACGAAAACAAGAGAAAGCTTTAAAATCTGCAATCGAAGTAACCTTAAAAGAGTCCAGTATCTCCAACATGGATGCTTCGCGCGCGAAAGATTCGGATTTCAATCAATTCGATTCGATTCCTTCGAATAAAACCATCCTAAAGCATGAAAATCAATAAAAATCGAAACAAACCATTCGCGCACGAAACGATTTTATTTCTAAATTCATTATAAAAATAATTAGAGCTAAACGTTCTGAAACTGATATGCTTTCTGCGGTGTTACCTGACCTTAAAAACTAAACAGTACACGCGGCAAGTCAGTGTTGAAACATTCGCTGGCCAAAGCGACTAAAACTATACGCCACCGGTCCGCGTTGTATATTCACATCTATACGTTGTACGTCTTGAACAATTTATTAAACATTATTTACGCGTAAAGACACCTTTCGTACGAGTTTTTATTCTACAAACGTTTTTAGGACGTTTTTAAATCGGTAAGAGATTGGAGAAAATCTTATTCACAGTTTAAGTGCCGTAATCAGTGTTTCCGAACTGAACGTTTAGGTCGGGTCATTTTGACAGCTGTCACTGACAAAAATGCAAGGAAAATCTGCGAAGGAGTATTTGTCATTATTTGAAATTATTTGTGTAATATCCTGCATTACAATTAAGAATTAAAGTCGCGTTTTGGCGCATATTTTCGAGATACAACGCGGACTGTGGCTGCTAGTCGCTGTACGTCTGTATTGCACATATCTACATAAACTTAAGTGTCGTTCAACAGGTACATTTGACGAATATATTAAATGTATACGTTAAGCGAGCGTTATACCGCGCAGATTGACAATTACTAAAATTTTTTCTGCCACAGAACAAATTATGCTTTAATATTAAATACAATTGCGAATAAACTGTTGGGCGGTATCGAATTGGCTACCTACAATAAATATGCAATGCTATTCTGCTGCCTTGAAGCAAATGACACTTAAATGAACTATAATATTCTTTCATGTTATTTATTTTGTTACAAAATATATGAAAGAAAGGTTTTTAAAATAAATGCTTTGAATATTTGTAAAGATATTGCAAAAGATTTTGCTCTTGATAAATTTATATTTGTATTTATAGAATATCAAAAGTTGCCACAGATTATTTAAGATTTGTCATAGATTAAATACAAAATTAATGATTACTTTACAATTATAAAAAAAAAACATTGAAAAACTGAATAAAAGCACTCAAAATGAAACTTCCAGAGTTAACAGAAAAAAATCAGAAACATAGTTTTTTATACAAACAGAAAAAAAATATAGAAATTGTTAAAAAAAATATATTTGTGAATTGAACAAAAAGCTAAGCAATACTCGGCTGTATAAAAGTCCATTAAAACGGCTACATTTGGACGGATAATGTAATTGCTCTCCCAAATATTGTTCCATCAAACTGATATTAAAAAAACTATAAAGCATAACCTAAAAGTGTGTCTAAGGAGCTGCTAATAATTATCCTTACACATAAAATGTTTCAACACCAATTCTTAAATATGATAATAAATATGATTTCAGTTTGAACTATTTATATTTTGTTTGGCACTGATTTTACGATTCCATAACAAAAACAACATTCCTTCATTTCGCTGTAGAACTAATACGGCCGTATACTGAAACAAATTTTAAACTCTTTACTTCCGACAGATTGCAACATTTTAATGGAATTTGGATTTTAACCATGACTTTATTATTTAAGATGCTGTTTGATATAAATGTCGTTTTAGTATTCGACCGTAAGTTACATATACTAATAGAAGTAGGAGTTCACAGTGAATTTGGAACAAAATTTTATTTGCAACAAAGAGTAATAAAATTTTAGGTTAGTTCAAATCTAGACTAATATTATATAGATTAAATATTTGTATTTTTGGAATTTTGTATGTATTCGATTCACATAACAACTATTGGGCGGATTTCAAAAATTGTTTCACCATTAGAAAGGTGAAAGTACCATCTATGAGTAAAGTAGACTATGTTTTATTTTTTTTTCATGCGGGCGAAGTTAAAAAAGGTTAACACGTAAAAGTAAAATTTCGTATGTTGTGAAGCTATTCCTATTAGTATATGAATATTGTTTACATTTTACAATACTTTTAATTGGTTTATTGTTTTCGTTAATTTTATTTGAACAAAATTACATTCAAGTTGTTGCTTACATTATGTACATACCCTGACGATGAAAACCACGAATTATAGATTATGTCTCAAATTTATTTACAAAAATATATTGTTTTTTTTTAAACATAATCATGTACATGATTTTCTTGACACTGAGTTTTTGAACCGCGTGTCGATTCGACAGCAAATAATAATTTTCAAGCCAAATTCGTGTTACCTATAGGAAATAGTGATGTGAATACAGGTGACGATTATATCGTTAAATATCGATTATCATTGATTAATTTGATTATATTTGTACATAACGGTGATGAGTGTTCTGACACGGGTCAGAGAAAACGAGTGGCTCATTGTTTCTTGTATATTAATATTTGATTTAAGTTTTAAATTAGAGCGCAGTGTGGCCACACTGCACGCGCTGCAAGGACTAGACGCGCGGCGCTGCACACTATGTTATATATTTAATTTAATTTATGAGGACGAATACCACCAAATATAATATATTTTCGAATTTAAGTAAAACAAGAGCATGCTGCGCGAAGTACACGAAACTCATAACGCCCCGAAATAATTAAGATAAAAATATATTTTAGTGTAAAGTTATTTAAGTAATTAAGTTATATTTATCAGTACTCGAATAAAAATTTGTTGCCATAACCGAAATTGAATTATTATGATATTAGGGAACTTTGTAAATATGAAAAAATATGTACACTTAACTGGCAAGGACTAAATTAATACTGTATAAATTATAAATATTAAAGAAACAAATATTATGTACAGTATATCTTCTTCGGCGGAAAGTCCGCGCTAAATTGACAATAACGTGCCGTCGAATCTTATATTGCGAGTGGCGGCCGCGGCACTTACACTAACACCTACCTATATTAGATTTACCTACAACCATTTTAATATAATCTCATCTTTATACCAATGAAATGCTTACGTTTACTCAGTCAAACTCAAACTAGGGGCGGCCGCGACCTCGCGCCGCCCGTCTATTGCCGAATACGAATATATCTTCTGTAA